TTCCTCGTACCACAATAAGTATTTGAATTGATTACAATATTGATACGTATTTGTGAAATAGGTTGAGAACTGAGGAAGTAGATCTATTGAAGAAATACCACGGAGGCTACTGAAAAATATCCTTGCATGGTAGCACTCAGTGTGGCGGGCAAAATACATTTATTGTGTTTACCATAAAAACAGTATTCTGGAACACCTCAAAAGATCAACAAATGCATTATAGCACTGATTACATGAAAGCTCTCATCCATGGAAGTTTATACCGTAATAATCCACCACTGGCCATTTTTTAAAAATTAGAACCAATGAAAATGCCAAGACAGTATGCAAGAGGCAAGTTTTCTGGAATGCTTTATTAGTTTAGGTACAACAAAGTGAGAAATGGATGAAGAATTTTTTAAAAATCCAAAGATCTGGTCAGACGTTATGGCCGCAAGGTCTGCTGTTCAGATCTGGTTTCAAAACCAGGATATGCAGACTGAATGAAAGCACAGTCTCACCTGCCAGGGGGCTCAGAAAGATCTCCCCAACCGGATTCACAAAGGAAACACCATGGCGTCCGTCAGCGGTGAGGTCATCCTTTTTGGAGGCATCACCACCTGGGTGACAAAGAAGACGTCACTTTTTCAAATGCTCCTGCCCCTCGCAAGAAGCAGTGGGCTTCTCGGTGTGCCAGTCCAACTCAAGAGAAAGTCTTTCCCACCCTGAACCCTCCAGCACTGCCAAACCATCGCCTTTCTTCAACCTGCTGGAAACAGATGCATCCCTGTGCTTCAGCAGAGGCCATAAAGCCAGGCTCTAGTTTACATGGCAGAGCTGGCAAGCTAAAAATGATCCAGTTTTGTTCAAATTCACTGCAGCGCCATCAAAGCTTCCACAGTTTTCATTTTTGCCAGTGACTGTACACTATCCAGAATACTCTGGTATGTTTATCAGAAATGGAAAATATACTTCTAAATATGCTGATGTGCATTGTCTCTGTTAAGAGTTCAGGTGAGAAGACTGGTCCACAACTGGAGGGCCAGTGCAGACATCTGGAATTGTGAAGGGGGCTTAACTACTACATGCAGTGGCTGATCTCCCAGATGCCAGACTGGTGAGCCTAAAAGAAAAGCAACTTGTCCAAGAACAGAAGTGCCTGAACTCCAAAACCCAAAGCTGCTCTTTTCAGCCCAAATAAAGGTGATGTCCAAGAGCAGTACTTTACTGTTCCTTTAATCAAACCAAAGGAAAGGAACTCTAAAAAGAATCTTAATTGAAATTATGATCGTGGGTGTACCACCACTTTGAAGACTCCAGTCTAAACACTGGTATTAGAAGAACATTTGCATCATGCCTTACTGGGATACCATTCACCATTTCCTTCCTTCACTGATTGTCCTGCAGTTTGAATGCAACTTGACCTGCTGTGAAAGGAAAGTGTAGCCTAACATACCCTTGTAGCCTCCACCTCCACCACCAGATGTACAAGCTCCTCCACCACCACCAAAGCCACCAGAGGTAGCCCACTGAAGCTTCTCCAGGGCTTGGTGGCAAGCTGCACCACCTTCTCCGCCCTCTAGAAGTGATCGTCCGGTCCAAGGAAACTGGGTGGTATCGTCCCAACCGCCACCGCCACCTGTGGACAAGGTACACGGGAAAAAACAGGTGCGCACTGGTGTGTGAATTACTTCTTTGAAGGATGTATCAACTAATGAAATTGTCCAACATCCTGACAGTCCTGGTAGTTAGAAAGCACCTGCAAATGTTTCAAGGATAAATAAATATTCCACCATAAATGTTCCAATATTTTGCTCCTATAGGCTGATAAGGCAGATGAATTTGTTTCTCTTGCTGCTGCTGGTTTTCTATAATTATATTATTATTTCAATGTTATGAGCTGCCTCCAAACCAAAGTTCTCAGGATGACATACACAATAAAAACCTATAAAATAAAAGCAATGACAAAATGCTTGTTCAAAATTTCGCAAATGCTTAAAAGCAGCAGCAACAATTCAGAATAATTTAAACAGAAGAGTTAAATATCTAGGTAGCTAAGAGTGCGATCCTACCACCACTGGACACTAAATGGATGGCCATAGGAGAAATTGGAGTTGTAGCTCTGACTTCAGACACTTGCTCCAAGGTCAGAGCTGGGGCTCCAAACTCCAAGCGCTGCCCCTTGGCCCTTGCAGCCAGCATGGGATGGATGGGACTGGCTGTGTCTCTGTGGAGAGAAGACGATGGCACCACCAGCGCTTCGTGCAGCCTGGCAATGCTGCAGCCTCCTCTCCTTGTGCTCCAGGGCAAAACACCTTGACAGACAGCCAAATCAGACGACTGCATTTTGCAGGGAGGGACCTTCGTATCAAGACAGAAGCCTGTCCTGTGCCACAATCCATCCTCATTGGATTGCACTGTAAAATGTGGGAAATCTCTATTTTAAAATGTAGTACTAAATGTGTCTTTGAAGAGGACCAGAAAAAAATTCTTTTCAGCGGTCTTAACCCAGCCTACTGCCCAAAATAGGAACACCCCAGAAGCCAGTTGGACCTCTTTTGGGAGGACACTCCAGAGCTTGGGGGACAGACAAGTTGTGACAAGGTGGTAAGTCTGTTGTAGGTTTCTTTGGAGAGCAGTTCAAAATTTGGTTATTTAAATGAAAATCTTGCTGCAAATTCCTGGAATTATGGGTGCATCTCCTGAAAACAGAAGACTCACAACCTCTATTTATTATTTTAGTTTTTATTGAGTTTATTAAATGCCTCATAAATACATCGCTCTAGGTGTTTCTTAACATACCCTGGCAAAGGCAGTGAATCGCCACTATAAAAATTCCAGAAAGAAAGGCTTGTCATTGATTCCCTCCTCTGCACCCATCACATTAGAATTGGGAATTCTGGAACTACCTCTGCTCCAAGCATGGACTGGCTTTTGACGTCCAGCTTACTCCTTCCCCACAGTTAAGTACATTTTCCACTGGGAAAGATTATCTCTTTACTGTTTAAATCTGACCCAATTTCTCAACCCTTGTACACCTTCCTTCTTCCCATGCCCAAATGCTCCTTTTTACTGGCTCTCTGTTTTTAAATGTAGGTCCCATTTTTGCAGAATGCCTACTCCACACCCCATAGATTGACAGCTATCCAAAATACACAGTCTAAGGGACCGGGTTCTAAAAACTGCCAAAGTTGTTTGCTCAGCTGCTAATTCCACTGCCTACGATCACCTGCAGGTTCTCACCTGCTGCCCCGGTTCTCCCACTGACTCCAGGTACTGCTGTGCTGTTCACGAACTGTTCCAAGAAGACTTCATCAAGGGGACCATCCTGATTTTTCAAGTAAGCTTTCCCTCCACCTCCTGCTGCAACGAGCAAAGGTTCAAAGGCCCCGTCCTTCCACTGCTCAATGCATTAAGGAAATAGAAAAACACACAGCAGGTTCCAAATCAGACTCCAATTAAAAACACACACCCAAAAATGCAGATACGAATGTCTGGAGAAAGCCTTATTCTTACTGGCGTGAAATGCAAAGCAGTTAAGTCTCGAGCAATCTCACAATGAATCCAGCACCAGCAGGCAGCTGTGATCATGGCAGGGTTTCAGGAAAAAATCTGATGTGTAGTTGGGGAAACCCGTGGCCCTCCAGATGTTGATGAACTAGAGTTCCCATCATCTTTCACCATTGGCCATGCGGTCTGGGGCCGAGTCCAAAAGCATCTGGAAGGTCACCGGCTCCACCTGTGATCTTGTATGTACAAAATGCTATTTGACAGCTGCTCAGAGAATGCTGGTCATCATTGATATGATATGTTGCTATAATTAACACAATACATAAAATGAATAAATAGTGACTCAGATAGGGTGAAATGACATTTCTTGGGATATTCTGGTCCCTTTTCCCCTGTGAAATAAGAGAGAGCAACTTTCTTTGGAGCACAGCTTCCCCACAGATTTAAACAGGTTTATTAGCCATTTCCTTCCTTGGGAATTCCTAGCAACTCCAGCCCAGTCTGCATCCTCTTCAAATGGCAGCACAAAAGTGTTCCAAGCACTGGGAAAATGTAATATTCCTGTGGCATAAGCTCAGTCTTGAGAAAAGAGATCTACATTTCCTATGACAAACTGGTATTAATTTTCTGGAAAGGGCTCTTGAACATCCAGCAATAGACCAAAAAAGATATAATTTTATCAGTGTGCTCATTTGCCCCCTGCAACCAGAGGTTTATTTGGATCCAATGCAGAGCAGGGGGAATGGCAGAGACAGTCTTTGCCTCCCCATCCCCCTGCCTTGCATTTCATCTAGATGGGCTTTCCCCCCATCTAGCTGGGAGCTCTTAGAGGGGAAGAATGGAGACTGGAGCGGCTTCAGGATGCCCCATATGCTGGCCACTCCACTCCTTTTGCCCCTTTCTATGGCCGCTTCCCTGACCTTGGAAAGTGGCCAGTGCGGGTTTTTTCTGAACCAGCTGTGAATTGGGAACCTGAGCTATCCTACGGCCCAGCAGGGCTATAGGCTCCTCCCTCACTTGGCTAAGATAAGTGCATGCCATCAAAAGCACGGAAGGAAATTCTGGACTAAACATTGCCTCATTTCTCTCCCATAACTTCACATTGGCCACCACATATTTGTATCTGGGTTGCTGCTCTTTATACCATTTTTGTACTTGTGCCCAGTGTTTTTTGTGAGGCATCAGGGCTGCCCCTAGGAAAGTGTGTGTTCAGTTTCACATCCAGTTTCACACTTCTGCGCTCCCCTCCTGCTTTGGAGGTGCCTTTCAATCATTAGTCTCATCTAGTTATAAAATGTACGTGCACAATTTTGTGAACACTCCCTTCACCCCACTATCATCACAGCAAAGGCATTTTGAACCAGATGGAGTAATATGCTGGTCCAGGCAGGGAACAAGCATTCAGTTGAGGAATTCTGTCCTCCTTCAAGGCTGAACACTTTTTGGTGCCACCTGAAATTCATCTGTAGGCCGATGCCAGAGGGAAGGCTACTAGCATGACCCATATACGCCACTGCGGGGGTATTCCATCTTTCCCTCCTTAACCAATTTGTTTGTGGAAAGAAAAAGGATGGAAGCAGTGCTGGGAAAGTTTGCAGTGGCATGAGATGTTGCCAAGACTTGCTGTCAAAATCTGGAAACGAGGCAGGGGGATTGCAGAAGAAATGCCTCACCTGGAAGCCTTTCTCAGTGCTTGGTGAGCTGTGCAGCACTCAAACTACAGCCCAGCACTGACCTCGACCATCTCTGTGTGACGGAGAATGGGCAGCATCCCGCGCCTCTGTGCCCCCTGCCAACTGTGGGGTGCACAACAGGAAGTTCGCAGGCTTCTAAGCAGCTCCAGCAATGAATGGAAATGCTCCTTAACAGATCGGAACAGTTCAGCAGCGCTCTGTGCTCCAGGCTCTGCTGACCTTTCCTGCTCCTGAGATAAGCATTCAGTTCATTTCCTTCTGCTCAAGGAGCCACGATCTTCCTAGTCTGTGAGCACTGACTCCCACTAACATGCAATTATCTGGCTGAACTCAGCAGTGCTCGAGAGACATGCCTAAAATTGCAGAGTTTGCACTCCATTAACTGTTTCCTTGGCCCAAGGAACCCTGGGAACAGTAGTTTCATGAGTGGCTTTGGAGTCCCATAGCACCTCACCAAACTACAGGTCTCAGGATCTTTTGGGGGAGGCCATGACAATTATGCTGATAAGCATATTTGCCTTGTACATGTTAGGGTTTTGAAGTTAAGCAACAACAACTCAAAAATCTCAATGAGGAGAAGTTCAGAATGAAACTGGGCAAGAATCAATGTACTGCATGAAAGAGTGTCAAGTTTGGTTTCTCCAATTTCTCATTTTTCAGTCTCAAGTTTGGTTCATCTTGAATGCGAAGATTTTTTTTCAAAAGATTTTGCCTGAAAATTTATCAGCATTTTTATGCACATGTCTCCCAATCCATGTATCTTTACTTAATATTTTGCCAGTATTTTTCCTAATGCAATGCATATTTGAACATTACTTTCTTTTTTTCTGTTTGTGCTTTTTTAAATTGGAGAACTCCACTGAAAAAAACAGAAAAATTAAATTAAGAGTGATAACCAAATTTCAGTTTGGGTTGATGTTAACTGGTCAGAGAACTTTGGCTACTGGTTGGTATATAAATGAAAAAATAGTAACAATAGTAATAAGAATGATTCAAAACTGTGAAATGATGTATGTTCACATTAAAATAAGCACTGAACGAATACCCCCCTCATCTCAAGTTAAAACCTTTATGCCCAAACAACATTGACTTTATAAAAGGATTTATATACTCTCTTTGGGCTCTCAAATCATCTCCATAGCTCCATCCAGGAGCTGCAATGTAAGGTGCTTATATTGTGAGCTGGGGGGAAGATCACATGGAGAATCTCCCCATCAGTGTGGAAGATTCCTGGCAGCTCCGCTGCTTGACTCTCAAGAAAAGAGGCCAGATGGTTTGTGCTAATCATCTGAAAAATGCCACAACCCCAGCATGATTTACAAAAAACAAAAAGGCAATGTTCACATGGGTGCTGCAGTGTTTCCGTTGGCCCTTGCTCAAATACCACTCCTGCTCGGATGCTTCTCAGAAGGAGTTAGAAAGAAATACGGGCACTCACTCTAAAGACGTACGTGGCGCCTCCACCTCCGCCCCCCCCTCCAGCCCATTCGGTCAGTCCCTTCTCTTTCTTGTACTCCTCTTCAATCTCTGATGATTCTCCCAGGCAGATCTGCTTAGTCTGAGAGTTTCTCTGGAAAGAGAAATAAAAGCAGCAGTTCAAAATAGGTGAAGCCAGGGTAGCAGTCTGGTGACAACTAAAGGGATTTTACTTACTGAAGCCAGAGATTAAATTGAACTTTAAGTAAACTGTGAATCATATTTACATATATTTTTGTATTGCAAGATTTCCACAAAGTTGCCTTTCTGAGAATTCTGAACAAAGTTGGTGAGAGCTTATTTTAGAAGAAAGTTAAGAACAGGACATCAAAACACATCCTTAGTTGAAAACGTTACTTTTATTAGTGCCTTTTTCCAGCAATTTTGAAATGTGGTATTTTCCCCCCAAACACACTAACCATGTAGAAAAAACAAAAACAGAGAAATTGAACCATAAATAGCAAAGCATCTCAAAGGTTCGGAAAAAAAAAACATGGAAGCACCTGCAGCATTTGCGTTTCCATAAAGCTGCTGGTGTCAGCTAAAAAGCTACGGCTGATCTGAAATGAGGATGGATATTGAGGGTGGGCAGCTTCTTCAGCTAATTATATAACAATTACGCAGGTTGCTTTCAGGATGAATTCAAAGGGCTTTTTCACAAAAGCGGTTCATCACCTGGGCTGCAGAAAGCATTGAGGATGCCGCTCCTCAAATGGCCACCACATCAGCTGCAAAGCAAGGCCAGAACCTCACTCAGGAACTGAGCATAGCTGCTCCAAAGAGCCAAGTTACATTCACTGGCAGCCTTATCTAATGAGGTATAAAATTGCTGCTTATACTACGGCTGCAGTGGTTTAAATCACTTGGTTTATCAGGTTTGATTGTTTTACCATGCATCTTGCTCAACTCTTTGAGTGTTGGGAACAAGGGTGAAACGGTCCAGTGGTGTGGCCTGAAGGCAGGGCTTGCGGGATTGTGGCTCACACTGGGCTGCCGGGAAAAAAGTCCTGAAATTCCTAGTGGGCCCTAGCCAGCTGTGCCTTTTTTCGGTCCAGCTGTGCATAGGATTGTCCCTTTCCTGTCGCTTTGCAGAGAATATCCAAACACTTATTAGAGCATCAAAAAGACCTCTACAAAGTTTTCTGCCACAGCAATGTATGGTATCTAGATCTGATCACTAGACTGATGTTCTTTGGAGACGGAGAGTAATTTTTAATCTTCCTTTCTACAGAACCAAACAGAAAGAGGAATTGATACTCCTGCTCAAATAACAGTGAGGTCAGCGAAATACCACATTGTGGAGAGAGATGTTTTGAATGAAGGATAATGTTTGGATCACAGGTCTTCACCAAATATGAGTGCTCCGTTAAGACAAATGAGCAGAGAGCAAACTGCCTTTGAACACAACGGGCATCTGATCTTCATGTCAACCCTTTAGTGCTGGTGTGGAAATAACGGCAAGGAGCTACAATTCCTTGGAGAAGATGCAATTAAATCCACGCTAGAGAGCAATATGGTTTACATGAAGGACAGTATGTGGTAGTTTTATTAAAGCAAATGCAAGCAGGAACCAAACAGATAAGTCAATTTGGAATTCCAGAGTCAATATTTTAAAATAGACTTGCTGTGGCTGTTTCTCCCTTTTTGCAGATTTTGCATGGCTGTTACTTCATCATCCTCTAGAATCAGTTTATACCTTCTGGAGAATCAAGTAATAAAGTTCTTCACCAACTGCACCACTTCAGATCTCCTCTCTGCACTCAGAAAGCCAACATGACAGGCAGAAACTGTCTCCCCAGGCTGGAGAACTGGCTGGAGAACTGGCTGAACTGTCTCCCCTGACATGCTATGAATATATGTGCAAAGTCATATTTCGTGGGATAGTCCAAGCAGTGGCTCCCCCACTTACCGCCTGAAATCCAAGCATGCTGTCCCCCACCTGTAGCAGGTTTGGGGAATCTTAAGCCTGGAGGGCAAATCTGGCCCACATAGGATTCCAAGCCAGCTTCCTGAGACGTCCTTGATGGCATGCCTTCCTCTGCCCCCCATTCCTCCAACCACTACTGCTCAAGGAATGGCTTTTGTGAAGCCAAAAGGTTGGGAAGGGTATTTTGGGCCCATCCCCTTTTGCTCACCCCCTTTGTCCTCACGCCCATCCACCATTGGAAGCAAGCTCCTGAGTGCATCTCTAGAACAGAATTTGGCCCTTGGTTTAAAAGAGGCTGCCCACCCCATGTTACAGTCTGAGAAAAGCTTTATCACCTGCTTCTATGCAGCGCATAACGCTGCCCTTGTAATTCCTCCTTTAGTCTAACTCCATGGCTCCTCCAAATCACCCAGCGCAGCAGCTCTTGATCCAGAGTAGATGGCAAGGAACCCAAATGTGTATCTGTACAAAATCTTAAAACTCTGAGTGTGCATGTTTAGGAATTTTAAAGAAAATTCACAACACGTCCCTAAGTTGTAATTCCAATGGTTCTTTGGGTCAGCTATTACAGTTGCAGTGATGGAATTTATAGTCTAGACATGACATAATAGCCTGTTGAGATGGAAGAATCAGAACTTTTGACACTTGCTATCCAAAGGAAAACAGCTCAGTTCCCTGTGCTGCTTGCTGCTAATCCAAACGGCAAAATTATTCTGCCACTGAAGAGGTGCTCAGTGAAAACCCAAAGGAATGGTGCCAAGCCTCTATGTCAGGGAGTACCTGTACTTTTGTCCCGTTTCCTGCTTTGCTGTCACCATCACTGGGCAAACTGCTTTCTGCAAGAATCCCGTCCCTGACCCTCTCCCAGCCACCCTCTGGCTGTTTATCAGGAGTGATTGTGCTCAGTGTGGCAAGCTTTGCTTCTCACCCCTGGGCAGGCGTCTTCTCCTTGTTGCCCCACCAAGATGTAGAGGAGCTCATCTTTCTCAAGTTGGAAGTTGGCTGAAATAAAGACACCATGAGATCGCATATTGTGGTTCTTGGCTCCTTTCCCTCCAGCTGCTCCATATGCTGAAATCCTGGAAAAGAGCAGCAACAATTAGCAACTCCACAGCACCAGGACCAGTTTCAAAGCAGCACCAGCTGTGAACTTTGCACAGCACACCAATGTGTCAAAGTCTTCCAAACACTCTCCAGATCCCCTGCTCTTCAGGATGGCGATATCTGGCAGGGCTGAGATTACACATGCATGTATGTATGTAATCATTGTCTTGCCTGCCTTTCAGGGCAGAAACTTCCCAAGGCAGCATGAAGCATAAAAACACGTAAGGGCTGATACAGTATTAAGAGCAGTGAAAATAGCATTAAAACCCAGGAAAATGTTCAAGTCCTTTCCTCTAACTCTTGAGTCAAGGCTCAAGTCTTTACTTTCAAGTCCAAGTCGAGTCTCAAGCCATTGCAAGAAATTTTCGAGTCAAGTCTCAAAAGCCAACCTCCTCCCTGCCCCCACCCTTGAAACTCCCTCCCTCCCACTGCCTCCCTCATGCCAAAGCGAAGGCCTTCCCTTCCCCCGGAACGCCGTTCTTGCACCCCAGAGTGATACTCACGTGTACCGGTTGGATTCTGGCACCTTCCACACTTGCACCCCTCGTAGCTGCCCCTCTTTTTCCACAGTCACGGAAACGTTGGTGTTGCGATACGCGCTATCGCACTGCGCCTGAGTTGGCCCTCGGGGGCCGCTCGCCCCGCAGGATGAAAACCACCACGGACTAGCACGCCCCTCCCCTAGGACCGAAAAAACAGCCAGGGTTGTGATCTGACATGTCTCGCTTCCTTTGATTTCCCGGGCTATTGCCAAGCTGCCCCGATGGCAAAGAAGTCCATTATTTTCACAGTTCTTATTCCTTCCAGATTCTCATGGGCTACGTTAGGTGGCTACATTAGATGAACTGTGAATTTTGTTCCTTACCTACCAATGCAAAGTGTTAGCACTTATCCACCCACCGCATCAGCTACCTGGTGAGTTTTTTAAACTACATGTCATATTATAAATATTGTTTGTGTATCAGCCTTTGTAACTGAAATCAGAGCAGAATTATCTCGGCCAATAAAATAACTGAGCTGGAAGCCAATTGGAACCTACAGAAGTACAGATACTAGTGTGACTATTCAGAATGGTAGTGGATTATTGAACTTGGCTTATAAATTCCTGATTCATAGACATCCGTGTAAGGAAGGCAGTAGAGGCTTTTTTTTTTGAAGAGCTGAGTACTAAACCAAAAATATTTCTGATCATAGCCCTGATATCTATTGAACTCTTCTGTTCCAAGAATCCTAACCTTTGTCCTCAATATGCACCAGAATTTTTCTTGAGTCTGCATTACTTTTGGGAAAACACATTCTGCTCAGAAAGAAAATCTGTTACAGATGCACTTCAGCACTGTGTGCTTGTGGGTCGGTGCCCGTGACACGCACAGCACAAGTTGTGCAGTAATGCAACTCCCAGTTCTTGAAATGCAGGGGTTCAGCCCAAGGTGAAATCCATTTCATTGACACTTGTGGGAATCGTATTCTAGCAGTGGGAGGGTCTGGACAAAAGGGGTGGGAAAGGAGGAGCAGCGCACAGATGCCAGTGTATTTTAGGAAAAACCTTGTTTAACTAGTGTCTGTGCCTTTGGAAAAGCATTTCAACCTTTTAGAAGCACGAAAAACTGAATAAATACCAGGGAACAATCAAATGACTGGGGGTCCAGGGAAAGGGGGTGTAGCCATCTGGGGAGCTCTAAATCCCAGGAGGATCCCGTTTGGATCAAAGGCCTGAGGTTCTTTCTGCGTTCCTGCTGTAAGATTTCCAGCCTCCAGAGTATAAGAATTCTTTCTGATAGAACAAATGGCTCATCTCTTTGGAGCCTGCAGTCTTGAATGCTCCAACTGGCTCTGGATCAGCATGGTCTCTGTCCTAGCGCCAACGAAATTTTCCTTTTACTTGTGCCTCCTCTTTCAGCCTAGTCTAGCTATGCTTCTGCCCTGCTGTGCCTCGTGGGACCCAAAAGGGTGCTGTAAAGTGCAGAAAAGGGTTCCTGCAATGATTAAGGGTTGGAATGTCTCCCCTGTGAGGAAAGGTTGCAACTGCAGAGACTACGGGGAGGCATGCTAGAAGTATAAAAAATTATTTTTGCTTTGGAAGAAGTGGAGATGATGGCATGCCTTCTAGCGCCTGGAGTCATCTCATGAAGTCAACTGGTAGAGAACTCAGGACAGAGTAAAGGAAGGCCTTCTTCACACAGCACTTGATTAAACTATGGAATTCACTTCTTCAAGATGTGGTGATAGCCACCAGTTTGCATCGCTTCAAAGGCATTGCACAATCCACGGAGAACTGGGGTCTGATTCGGCGGTGCTGCCTCTGGTACCAGAGACAACATGGGTGTGTGCAGCTTTTACTAGGGCATATGGGCAAGAAGGTGCAGTTGCATTCATAAACTGCCTGTGTGAACACAATGCTGGGAGTTTCTCACAACCCTGAACAGAATGCTGGGCTGGGTGGGCCCTTGCTCTGATCTGGCATGGTTCCTGGCATGTTTTTGATCGGTTTCCTGACTTTTTTTGGCTGAGCTGCAAGAAAGGGACTGTGCAAATTTCTCTGATTGTCTGCTGACTAGAGCAGGATATTGGCCAGAAGGATGAGATACCATGCAACATGCCCTTCTGCACTCAGGCTGAAAGAAAAGACAGAAAGTAAAATGGTTCAAAAATGTATGCATGCATGTATGTATGCACATATGTATGTATGTATGATTTGTAATACAATTCATGGTCTGATTCACATAGGCAACCTACTGCAAAGGTGCTCCCTTAAAAGCAAGCTTGTGGAAGTAGCTCTAAAGTAGCTCTGCTTGGCCAGTCTCTTTATGAAGGGATTGAATATTTAATCCAATTTAAAATATGCTACTGTAAACCTTAAAAAGTCCAAATCAGAGCAGGAGTTGCATATTGGTTTTCCCCCACTGACCTGGCTCAGAGAGGGCCCTGTGCACATATTCTGGGTGGGAGTGCTGCTGAAACTTTGCCCAGAGATCTACTTTGCCCAGATGACCTGCTCTTGTTTTGGAGATTTTTCTACACAAAGCTATTAATTGGCTGCTCGTTCATGGGATCTGCTTTTGGTGACATGGCAGAATTGAGTTCCGAGTGCTACACAAAGATGTTTCCCTCTCTGCTTTCTCTCTATATAACCTCAAGGTGGCATGGTGGAATATCAGAATAGTGCAAATGCACAAGGGAGATTGCCTTTCCTTTTGCTTTCACAATTACATCCTGCAGTTTCTCCAAAAGAACTCATCAAGAATGAGGGTTAGACACAAAAGACAGAACAGAACTGGAGGGCTTTAGCTTGGAGTCCTGCATTGAGTAGGGAGTTGGATTTGATGGCCTCGTAGGCTCCTTCCACTTCTCTGAGTGCTATGACTCTATTACAATAGCAAGAGCAAAGAAATGGAACAACAAATGAGGAAACACAAGAAACCTTTTCCAGAAGATCCAAGAAATCAAAGGGAAATTCAAACCTAAATAAGGAATACTGAAAGACCAACAGACTACCTGCCCAGGAGAAAATAAAGAGAAGGTGGAAAGAATACAAAAGTAGTATAGAGAAGATGACAGACTCCTCTGAAGAGGAATCATGAGGAAGAACTTGCAATATTAGTAAGTGTAATAAAAGCTGAACTGAAAGCATTTAGAAGGAATAAAGTACCTTGAGTAGACAGGATACCAGTAGAACTATTCTAAATTGCATAGACTAATCCATCTGAATCCTAACAAGGATATGCCAATGAATATGGAAAGCAAAACAACATTCAATATGCATTCCAATCCCCCAAACAGGAGATGCTAAGGAGTGCAGCAACTATGGGACCATCGCACTGATTGCCCTTGCACTCAAAGCGATGCTCAGGGTGTTGCAACAAAGAATTTGATCCTTTATCACAAGAAATGCCTGACACTCAACCTGGAATCTGAAAAGGGGGAGGCGCTCGAGATCATATTGCAAATGTACTTATCTACTGGAATGCACCAAAGAATTTCAGAAGCCGCTCAGCCTATTCTTTATAGACTACAGCAAAGCCTTTGTATGTATTACAAGAAACTATGAATGGTTCTGAAAGAAAAGGTGTGTCTGAAAGATCTGTATCATGGCTAAGAAGCTACTATTAGGACCAAATATGGAGAAACAGAATGGCTTCCTACAGGCAAAAGTATTATGTATTTATTAACTCATATGCTGTCCCATAAGCCATAAGGATCTCTGGGCTGCTCACAAGAAGTTATGCAACAATATTGCATAACCATATGAGACAAGGAAGTGTGTATCAGTCTGTAGATGGAACAGAATGCACCATAAGGAAAGTTTGATTAGGATCAGCAGAAGGAGTGAAAAGTGGCAGAAGATACAGCAATAATTTAAGATATGCAGATAATACCATGCTGCTGGCAGGAGGCAGCACTGAACTGATGAAAGTAAGAGAGACTGCAAAAGCAGGACCCCGGGGGAACATTAAGAAAACAAGATCATGATTACAGAGGAATTACACCATTTCCATGTCAACAATGAAGAGACTGAAATTGTGAAAGATTTTGCATACCTTGACTCAATGGCCGATTCAAAGGGAGACAGTCACCAAGAAGTTAGAAGACTGAGACTTGGAAGGGCAGCAATGAAGGGTGTACAAAAGATCATTCAGTGTAAGGCTGTTCAGCCGTGGGGACTAAGGCCAAGGTAATTGCCATCCCGATCACTGTGTACGGGTGTGAAAGCCCCAGGAGTGAGTTTACAACAACTGAGCAGGGCTGTCAAGGACAGGACATTTTGGAGGGGTTTCATTCACAGGGTTGCCTTAAGTTGGCGATGACTGGACAGCACACGACAGAAACAAGAGCCAGACTGGACGTGACGAGGCAGCTGTGTTTAATCCTCATGTGTTTATCTCAGTTACATATAAAGCAAGGAATGGTATGTGAGCATGATATATATGCAATTTAGTAATGGGGAGAAGTTATCTTTCAGACTATGCGTTTTTCCAAATTTTGTGATTCGTCTCTTGACTGCAAGCGTATCAAAAATATTAAAAAGCTGCATACAAAAATGTGTTTCCTGGGCCAAGCTGCATACATAATGCATCTGCATTATGAATCTGTGCATGATAATAAATACAAATTTTCAACTTTTTTAAAAGGCAGAAAATTTGGAAGTTGGACAGAAGAGACTTAGGATTCAAAATACAGAAGCCAAAAATAGGCCGATTTGTCCATTCCCAATGTGATTATACCTTAGCTTTCTTCTAGATTGGCCCTATCAGTTCACTGTCAGGACAGGGTGGGGGAAAGTGCCTGGTTTGGGGTGAAGCTGGAAAAGCGAGGTGCAGGGTTACCCATGCCCCTTCCTGGCAGCTCCTCTCATTCTCCACTTTACACACGAATGGAACAGATACACGGATCAGAAATATGGGCTTTCCGAGAGCCTCTAGTCTGGCTCAGACAGAAAGAAAATTGTGAAAGAAGCATTTGACACATCTGCTCAGTAAGGTATAAAATTGCACTCAGCCACCAGTGTTACATGGTCGATATCTATAACGCCTATGGCTGGGATTCTAAGATGAGTTAAGATAAGGAAATTAACAGAAGGAAAGTATCCTGCCTCTTCCTGCCCCCCACGCCTCTGCAGAAGTTTCTCCAGCAGGCTGGGAGACCCTCCTGAACAATATGGATAAAGCAAGGTGGGGGCTGTTGTGGGAGAGAGGAAGTACCCCAAATTGTGCTGTGCCATATTAGGGACTTTCCCCCAGCATCCCCAAAGGTTTCATCTTGCGTTTCAGGTGCTCTCCTTGAAACTCTTGAGAGACTCTTTAGGGAGGCAGGGTGGTAACAGAGTGTTTCCTCTGTGAACTCTGTAAACTACTTTATCTTAAGATCCAAGGTTCTGGGATTATTTACATGTAGCAAAAAATTTATTAAATTAAAAATGAATTTACTAAAATTAAATGTTTTTCATATAATGAATCAAGTAACTTGAATTAAAATATATCAGACTACTGGTTTTAATTGTTGATTTAAAACATACTTTAAGAGGCAGTGTGGTATAGTGGTTAAAGGCACGGGACTGGGACTCAGGCAATGATTGCCTGAGTCCCGTTCTAGTCCCGTTCAGCCAAGGAGTCAAGTGGGTGACTTTGGTGCAGTGACAGACTCTCAGCCCAACCTACCTCACAGGGTTGTTGTGGCGGGGATAAGAGTGGGAGCAAGGGGAGGAGACTGATAGAAGCGACTTTGAGTTCTTTAAAAGAAAAAAAAAATCAAATAATTGTTGCTTTCTAAATTGCTGTTTTAATGTATTTTCTATGCCAACCTGTGATTTGATAATAAAAAGAAATATATGTACATTTTAAATAAACAATGAAAGATGTAAAGAGCTGGGTAAAACGCGATGTTTTCTAGGCTTTCACACTGGTGAACTGCATTGCTATGCTGAGCTCACGACGGAGGCTTCCCGCCTCTCGCAGCCTGCTGGGTTCTGTTCCTGGGGCAGAGGAGGGACAGAGTCCATGGTCCTGGCTCTGCCTGCCTGCTGGGTTGCCTGCACAGATCCCTTTACCTATCAAGCTGGCGCTAAAAGACGAGGCTCTTAGATATTCAGCACCTCCTCAACTACCAGGCTCTTTGGTCTGAAGAAAGCACCAGGGCAGGCTGCTTAACATTCCTATACAGGAAATATGGAATGGGCTACAGATTAAAAATGAGAACACTTCTTTCCAACTGTTCTGCTCCCTGAATTGTGCTCACTGTCATGAAAAGCTACTTTCTGCCAAACGCCTTGCTTTACTGCTTCAAGCGGCAGGTTTGTTGGATTTAGCACCGTGAGCCTATTGATCTTACCGAGGAAAGATAAACTTAGCTGTAAAATAGCATCAAGTCATACTGTGGACTCACAACAGGTAAACTAATCACCTAAAGAAAGGGGCTCATCCAGTCTAAGACTTTCCCATGGGTAGTGCTGCTTTTCATCAGTGTGACTCTGTCTTCTTCCTGCCAGAATTTGAGAATGATTAGATGGAGAGAGAGAAAGAAGAAGGGGTTAAGATGAAATGTTGCCAAAAACAAGAAATCTTACATAAAAATAAGCAATAAAGAAGATGTGCAAGCCAAATATGCTGACAAACAAAAATAGAATCATGCAATAGGTTTATAACCTGCAATATGAACCTGCCCATTCATTGAGATCTGCTGATGAACCTTTCTCTGTAGTCCTTTTTGTGGTCTCTCCTAGGTTATGGGACTCCCAGTTCAGGAAGGTCCACCTTGTCCCCTCTCCAGCTGTTTTCCACTGGCTCATGAAGACCTTTGTATTTCAGCAAGCGTCTGGACTATCAAGCTGTTTCTATAAGCCCTGCTTTTATAGTCCTGGGAGTTCGGAAAACGTTTGGTGGTTTTGCACTGAGAATAACATGCCACTTTTGGGCTGAGCAGCACGGGTTGAACACATTGGCTCAGTGCTCCTTCTGCAAGTGAGCCTTTCAATTTAACCAGCAAAAAGTCGGGCAGGAGACCATTTTTAGTCCTTCTACATGCCTCACACCTCCCCAAACAATTCCAGAAGTTCTCCTGACATTTCAGTGAAAATGTCCTGAGGGCTGGTAGGAAGGAGGGAGGTTCAGTGAAGATCTCTCCCCCAGCTTCTGCCAGCAGAATTCTCCTTTTAGCTGAATTTTGCTCGTGGTGTCTCCAGGCGGCATCTGATACCGGGCTGATGCTCCCAGGGAGCACCTCAGTGTTTCCCATTGCACTTTTGTTCAGTTCTGTTTCACTTGGTTTTCCGTCTGCAGCAACAGTGTGCGGAGGAAGTCGTAATATTTGAGCCACTATCTTATAGCAGCATAGCACTTTCTTTACAGCAGATAATCCAGTTTCGTTCTAGTTGGGCAATTAGCCCAAGCCCAAAACTCTCACAGCTAATTAACTGCTCTCCTTTTCTATTTCTTCGAGGCAATCCTGGCAAGGGGCCCATTGAGCAAGCTTTTCTGTGAGGTAGAAATCCACCTTTCAGGTCAAGGGATGAAAGCGCTGCCTAGACTCTCCTCTAGACTAGGAGAATGGTAAGAACTGGGCCTTGGGAGAGGCTCTGGATTTGGCATTTGCAGTTGGCGACATGGAAAATACTTGCTCTGCTCTCAGTTCACATACTGTATCCAATCTGTGGCCAGCAAAGGCCAGTTTTTCTAATAGGACTTTCAGGCCACCAACTATGGCAAAAAGGGAAAATAATGTAAAATAAACTATCTGGGTGAAAGGAAAACCAAATAAAGGTACTTTACACTGAGCACAAAGAAGCTCTTGGTCTTGGCTCTCAGTTGCATTTCTTAGGAAGCTAAAGGTCGTGAACTCCTTCCAGCTCAGCTCCTGCCATCCAGAGATGGACAATAAACTCAGTCACTTGCACAGGATGTAGTTCACCCCTCAGAACACTGCCCTGGTCTGTATTTCTGCTTCAAGCTGCAATGCAGCAGCATTCCGACCGGCTGTCCTCGGCCAGTTCTTCCTCTCCAAACAAACAGCCTTTCCTCCTTTTCCTAAACAGTGCCAAATCCTTATGAGCTATGTTTCTTTTGGGCTTTTTTTATGTGTATATATATATCAACCCCAGGCTTCTCTGTCTTGCTCTCAGAACTGAGAACAAAGTGTTCCTGGTGCCTGCTGAGGACTAAATTATCACATTTGTGATTCATTATTAGAATTCGTGGGGCCTGCAATCAATGCGCTATATATTCCTATACTGAAAGCTAGTGTGGCATGGTGGTTACAGTGCTGGACTGGGCCATGGCCCAGCCAGGCTCTAGTCCTCACCTGGCCTTGAAGCTCACTGGGTGGCTCTGGGCCAGCCACAGATGCTCAGCACAGGTACAATAGGTAAAGTGCGGTTGCAGTGATCAACAGAGCTGGTTGCTGAGACTGCTCTGCAGAGGCCTATGGGAGAGGTGCCAGGACCGAGAGGGAAATAAGCCACAGCAAGCTGCCAGTCTGCTCTGTGGGCTCTTTTGCTTTGCCTCAAGAACACAGCCAGCAGCTCTGCTGGATCAGAGCCAAGATTTATCCATCCCAGCCTGATCATCTGTCACTCAGTGCATTGATTAAGGATCACAGGCTGTGGAAGTTTGCTGGAGACTCAGAACTGCTGGGGCTGTGCAAGGCAGAAGCTTCTCTTGTGCACAAAGCAGAGCTTCTGTGTTTGTTTAGGGTAAGGTGGTGCCAAGCCAAAGGCTAGGGAGAGGCCAAGGGGAGGTCAGTCTGGAAGCTGTTATGGAGAGGTAAAGGCCTTGCCCCCCCTGCTTGCGGGGGCTGCTGCTACTGCCGGAGGAGATCGCCTGGAAGGCGAGGGCAGTGCAAAGTCCTGGATGCCTTTCACGGCCTGCATGCAGCATATGCCTCCTTCAAGAAGCAAACGTGATGCCTGCCAAGTGTTGAGAGTCACTGTCAAGACAACGAATTTAGAGCTTCACTACAGCAGCCATTTGTCTTGCATACAAATCCCTCCAGCAGAGACACACCATTTTCAACAGCAGGTTGTGAAATCAGAGCTTGGAAAATAAGGCAACAGTAAAGCAAGCTGCTAGAGAAAGGCAGACATCCCCAAAGGCCTGCTGAGCAGCCGAGGTGGCACATGGGCTCACGCATGCCTCGCTCAGGCACATGCACACATTTGCTCACACCCACTCCAGAAGCAACAACTCTTGGCTGGCCTCTGTTGCTTCCTCTCTTTGGCAATCCCACCCTGACTGTCAGAAAAAGCACAACATTCCTAGATTGCCCTGAGGGCTTTCTAAAAATGGTCTAAGAGCCTTCAAGAACTGCTTTCCAGGAGACTCCGGGGACAAGGCCACTGTGGCAAGGACCACGCAGCTTGCTCCTGCACCACTTTTCCACACCTCTCTTTTTTTTCACCGAGAGGAGGTTCTCGTGGCTTCCAGACAAGGTTTTGCTCAAAACTCAAAAAGGGCGAGTTAAGGTTTAGGAACCTTAGATTTAGAGAGCATGTGGTGGCAAGAGCAGGCAAGAACGGCCCCTGCATCTGTCAGCCAGCAGGTTCTGGGCTCCAGGATGGGAACCAAGCCGTAGAAAGACTGTGCCTTTCAAGGTGGGCACAGGTTGACCAGGCCAAATTTTCACAAGCCTGATGCTGTGCAGTCGTGTCTCATTCTCTGCCCCCCATTCCTAAGCTACGTTTCAAGCCCATCCATGGACGTGGATCTTAATACCCCATCTTCTCCACCACATACATGCTATCTTAAATGTCATTTTGAGGACAACAGTGGTGAACTGAACAGCTGGAATTCAAGAGGAAATTAGCATTTCCGCCTGAGGAAGAAATAAATGGCCCTTTCCTTCCTGCTCTCATCCTTTCTTCCTCCCGTCCCCTCCCCTCCGTTGCACCACAGATCAGCATAACCTCTTTGCCTGCCCATTAATTGGCTCTGCTATGACATCCAAAACCTCTCCTGGCAAAGGGGGATCTAATTTTATTTACTGAGAGACAAACACAGCTGCTGGGCTTCTCCAAGATCTAATTGAATTAAAGGATTTGATGATGAATGAAATGGCTTGTAGTCAGAGGAGAAAAATGCCAGCTTACAGGAATTCAAGTTGGAGTTATGAACTTGAGTATTTCAAGCCACACGAATCCTTAGCTGTGTGCAGTGCTGAAAGCCAACAACATATACCCTGACTGTTCTTGGCAGTTGCTAGGGATCTCTCTTATTTTCTGGGACCTGACCTGGAAAAACCTTGACCTTATTTTTCCTTTGTGGAAGATGCTGGCGAAGGTTTTAATGACTTTCTCAGCATGCGCACATTTCAGGTCTTCAAGTTACGTCCAGTGGACTTGATCCTAGGAGTCACGGGAAGGTGCCTCGTAGCAAATTAGAATGTTTGTCCATCAAGCTCAGTAAGGAAAGAGTGGGCCTTGCTGGTCCACAGAGCAACCATGGCCAGAACGTGCATGGCAGCCTGTACATGTTCAGCCAAATGAACTGGGGGGCCAGTAGGGCTGCAGTGGCTTCAGGCTTGGCTCCCAAACGGAATAATCTGTGGGGCTCTGTGGCAGCCCCCTGCAAATTGGCACTCTCCAGACGTGTTGGCCTACAACTCCCATCATTTGCAGCCAGCATGAGCAATTGCCACGCTGGCCATGGCTGCTCAATGGCTCTTCTGCTGTGCGTTACGAGCACAGCAACAGATCTGCTGGATCAGACCCAAGACCTGTCCACATCCTGTTCTTCCAGTAACCAACCAGATGCCCCAGTGGGAAGCCAACAAGCCAGGCAGGAGCACAATGGTGCTCCAACAACGTGTGCCTTCTGGCGCTGGTACTGGGGAGCACAGTGTCTTTGCTGCAGGTACCAGAACTGCACTCACAGCCCTTTCACACAAAAGTCCACTTCTGGTTATCCAGGGTGGACTCATTTCTGCAGACGATTAGGTGAAAAATAAGCATGTTGCTGTTATTAAAAAAGGAGAAGCCATGAACCCTTGTAGATCTACTGCAAATCCTTCAGAGTTATACCAGTAAATCCTTATTTACCTTCTGCCAAACCTCGTTTCAAAGGATACTGTTATGCCCTGCTGAGCAACACACACTGCTAGGGCAGGACAAGCTGATACAAGATCTAGCTGTACACAATACAGAGCAGACAGAGAAAAGCGTCTGACATGAACCGTATAGCACAATATTGAACATGTCAGGCAGACCTTCCTCAGATGTGCTGGAGGGCAGGGACAGAGATGCACAGATTGTGCTTCCATGCAACCACATTTTACAAAACAATTCTGATAGCACTAAATAAAGTAGATGTTATGTGTGTAAATTTCATTTCCTTAATAAACAGCATTTTTGAGAAGTATGGATGTGAGTTATCTTTGCAAGAGAAACACCACCCAAAGAGAAGGCATTTAGATCCTGGGCATCAATGAACTGCACATTTCCTGTGCTGCATAGTGGCACCGGCCTGGAAAGATGCTCCACAAAGGTGACAATAAAAGTAGAGTCACCAGGAAGAAACAATATATTCATATTTTGATGCAAACTTACCTTTGAAGTGACTAAAACTGAATTATCCTACATAATTTTCATTTTATGTATACTTCTTCAATCAAAGAATGTGTAGAGACATTCATATATTAGGTGACATGCAAAATGTGAATGATCAAGAAAGTACTGCTTAAAATATATCATATTAGGAAAAATAGCTTGTGAAATGTATATATTAGGTGAAATTAAGTTCATATATGCATGTATTCAAAGAAATGTACAAAATATGAATACGTTTTCATGGAAACATAGAAAAATTCTCAGCTCAGGATGAAGTAATCTTATGACTGGGGAAAAAAAGAGAAACTAAATTTGATAGATTCACCTGTCCCTAGCAGAAGTAATCAAAGCACTCACTCTTGCACTCCGAGAACATAAGCAAAATAGCCATTTCTTATATACCTCCTTGACATCCTGGCAGAACAACTTTCCAAGTGTTGACCACCTGGAACATGGAATCAATACCTGAGGCCCTTCTCCAAGGGCCTCCTCTGGCAAAAGTTCAGAAGTTGGCATCAAGGGAGAGAAAATTTTCAATGATCAGCTCCCAACTGTGAGGCCTGACAAAGTAGACTTTTCTCTACTTTGAAAGCATGTGATGGGCTTTTTATGCATCAGCTGTTTTAGTTATGGTCTGTACCTGTCTTAGGTGTATTATTACGTTTCGACATGTTCAATGATTTTTCAGCTATGTTATATTTTGTAGGCTGTAGCAAATTTATTAGACATCTTGGTTTGTTGTTTTAAGACAAAGGAAACCAAGACATGATGATGGAGATGAGGACAAGGATGATAATAACAATTATAACTATAATGGCTGCATATTCAAGGCTTCCTTAATTTGAAGAAACTTACCACTGGGGAAGCAGTCCAGTCCAAAGGTGATGTTGTCCACGGCAATTTCAGCTTGTGAATTCCAGCCCCAAGTAGCTAGGAGCTGCAGGTGAAAGCTATTTAACAAAGCAGACATTTGGGGAAGGAGAGAGGCAAACAGAGAGATTAAAATATTTACAGCAAACACACCTGAAAGCAGAAGTGATCAGATAGGCAAACATTTATTTGGCAACTTTGCATTACTTTTTAGGGTTATCCAGTGCTGTACAAGGAGAAACCATTCACAAATGAAAAATATATGCCATCAATGTGACTTGGAAAATAAGCATGTTCCATGCATCATTGGCCTTCACAGTTCCATATGGAAGAATACACCACTAAAATAAGCTTCAGGGGAAAATACTTGAATACTTATGCAGTGTGAAACTTCACAGCACCCTGAAATTTCATGTCACACAACAGAGGTCAACAGAGTTAGATCGGATCAACAGAAGGATCCATTCAAGCCCTTGGCAGGCATTTGCCAGTGCATGTACAGCTAAACTCTATAGAGGGTACAGCATGTATGTTAAGCCCCCCCCTTCCCCCCATGACCGCCAGGGTCTCCATGTAGATCTTCATGCACAGGATCCTGTGGTGTGCACAGGATTCTCTAATTTCCTTCAGCTGAACACGATTTCAGAGTTCCCATGATAGGAAACCCAGATCACGGGAGCTCAGGAACTGCATCCAGCTGAACGTGATTACAGAGTCTTGTGCAAATCTTCCAGCTTGATGAACAAAGGTCTACACAGAAGCCAGGCATGTGGGGACAGTGGGAAAGGGGCTCGACTAAACGCCCACATCCCCCTATACAGTTTAGCTCAGGGATGTGAAGATCTGCCCAAATCCAGAACGCGCCAGTCTTCTTTCTCACACTTGGGCTTGGCCTGGGAAGTGCGCTGAGGTCAAGTCTGCAAAAACTCAGGGACATCGGCGGGCCTCTTCTTTATGCTGAGTCCTTGCAAAAAAGCAAAGCCTGCAAGTCACACATGCAAAAGCAGAACTGCGCTTGCATAGTGGGTGAGTGGTCAGTATAACCGCAATACCTGCACAAGTAGGCTCACTGCCTTGCAGGTACTCATGTGAATGCCTGGGAAGATGCAGAAAGAAAGCAGGCAGAGTCTGGAGAACTGAGCCAAGGAATCCAATGGAATTCCACCTGCACCCTGGATTCCTCACACACCTTCTAGTTTAGCCCAACACAGTTTAGCTCTTCAAACAGACACTCAAATATCTGCAGAGAGCTTTAGTATCTGCAAATTGCATCTGTTCATATTTGGGGTAGATAATGCTAACCAGGAAGACAGGGAGATCAATAATGCACCAAATAAAGATAGCATGGTACATTGTTCAACAATTCAGAGAGACTTAGAATAATGTCTGTGCTTCATGCATGAAGCACAACAATTTTGGATTTGGTTTCATAAACAAACACAGATCCATCAATATGCACGGCACACCAGGCCAGCCCCCCTTAGGAGTGATGACACCGCCTGTGATTTTTGCAGGAGTAGTTCATTGATCAGAAGAACTAGTGCTGCTTCATGGACGATCCAACTAGGAAGCAGCCTTGTTCCAAATAGAGGAGAGACAGAGGTAAAAATGTACAAACCCAACAAAATGTGGGCAAAGCCAACATGCTTAGGGACTTCATATAGGAAACAGCATGCACATACATCCAGAGTTTTGAGATTATTCCCTCCCTCCACCTAACGGCAACTTCATTAGGCTCCAAGGAGGTAGGTCTGGGGCAAGGCAGGTGGAAATGTCTTTGATGTTCCTCTCCACCCACCACCACCCAGCAGACTTATTTACAGTGCTCCTCTTTCTTCTTTGTTGTCCTTATGCCTGGAAACTCTCTCCTAGAGCAATGCCAGCTCTTGCTCTTCCTCCAACCCCCACCCCAAAACCAACTTTGTTTGAGTGTGAAACCTTGATGCAATCCCTTAGTCCTCACTAAGCCTTAATGAGTGTCACTGAGCTAAAAGCACTAATTATGGTCCATTGAGTTTCCAATCACAGAGAGTAAGCCTGTTTGAGCAGAGACCTTCCTGTTACTATGGAAAGAGTCATGCACACTGATGGTACAATATTCGATTAATTATGAGTGCTCCCGAGGTTAAGCTTACTTGTTCTGCAGTCTGGGCATTTCCAGACTTATGAGAAACCAGTGATCACTCCAGCTCCCTGTTCTTTCCCACACCACTGGGGTGGTATTGATTCCTACGGTGTCTTCTTCTTCGACAGTAAGTAACACAGTGCCATTGTAATTCCCAAAAATGTACACTGAGAATTGGACCTAAAGAGAGGAAGGAATGCAGAATGAAGAGACGTGTCAATGAAACTCATTCTGATGTATTTGTCATGTCTGAAGACTATCCGTTTATGCACTAACAGTCATTATATGGAGAGGTCCTAGGCCTGGGAAATTCTGGTTGAAGATAACTGCTAAGGTTCCTCTAGGAGGTATCCATAAAAGCTCCATGGGCCAAATATGGAATCTCCATGGGCTGGATTAGGCCCACAGGCTGCAGATTGTCCTCGGGTTTAGGGTCACAGCTGTGTGGTAGAAGCAATGTATAAATGGATAAGATTGCATAGTTTTCTGGCAGCAATTCACACAAGTATGGGGAGTTTAAAAAAAAGTCCACACTCATGCCTATGAGCTCTATTTCCCTTGATCCATATATTACTTTCTTCATGTGGCTGCAGCCAAGGACTGTTAGCACAAGCAAACCGGGACTCAATGTTCAAAATTTACAATAAAGTGTTAATGCACGTGAAAATCACCCAGACAGGGCAATCCCTGGATCTATCTGCATGGAGGAAATAATATGAGTTATGAAGACTACAGAGTTATTTCAAGCTGATATGCACAAATGTGGGATTGTACCACATGCTCCTGTGAATCAGGAAAGCTGTTGGATTGTGCCAGTTTATACATTCTTTGCATGCTTGCATGCACACACATACTGTGGCCAAATATGAAGATCCCTTGAAGTACACTAAGAGGTTTTCATAACTGGTCACAGTATGTATGGGTGGGCACGCACGCACACACCAGGGAGGGGCGTCTGTTTTCCAGAGGGCAGATTAGCTTCAGTTGTGGATGAAGCTAGAGACTGAGTCAGGAGTGCCAGATGGAAGACATAGAAGGGCCAGTTAGAGCAGAACCGCTAATCAACATTGGCTTTAAGTTCTTGAATGCCCTCTCCCACCCTCTGGGTGGATGGCAACATTTGCACTGATAACAGGTAGTCATGATTACAGGTAGAATGATTAACCATAGATAAAAATGTCAATATGATATATGGTATTTCATCTGGAAATAAGTACCAGAAAGATAGCTTTGTTAGCTTGTAGCAGCAGCAATTAAAATGGCTTGTGGCATCTTGAAGATATTTTACGGCACAAGCTTTCTTGGACCTGAGTCCACCTCACCAGATGCACAGAGTGTTGTGCTCAGCTGGCAGGTATTGACATAATTGTGCACAGGTACAAGAGGGGAGAAATAGTAAAAGAAGGTTTGGAAAGTTATGAAATGGAAGAAGTAGAACCTGTGGCACTTCAATTAAAGCTCAGATGTGTTCAGAATAAGATTATTAATGCATGCTGCACTGTGCTGTTCCATGATCTGACGCTTTCTGAACAAAAATTCATTTCCTAAAATTCATAAAGTGCTTCCCCGCACCCTCTATTTCTTTTCTGCTTTTGTTTTTGCTATGCTACCAGGACTATGGGTACCATCAGTTCCTCGTGTCAACTCAGTATAAGCCGAGAGACGATGCACCTTTTGCAGCATGAGCGAACAAAACCAGGAAGCCTCTATTTAGCCACAGTTTCCCATTTTGCCAGCTTTGGAACAAGCTACGGCACTAATCCATGGTCTGGGGTTGATTTAACATCCTGATTTATGTCAAAGCTAGCTCCCATAGTTTCTAGGTTTCAATGAAATAGGAAACTACGTATTTTGTTGCCTTCACCACAAAAGGAGGAGTGAAAGGGGCTTCATATTACTGAAGGTCTTCATGAATTGCACAGTGATAAGGAATGTCATACCTGATAGTCTCCTCTGGTGAGATTGGCTGGGAGAGAAGCACTACGTGTCTGAGTGGCGCCACCTGTATGATCACTCTCTATATGGAGATACAGAAAGTGACCTGGAAAAGATGTTTTAAATGGTAGAGGTGACGTGAGGTTGTATTCAGGTGCCATGTCCAGTGAGTTGGGCCTAGGATTTACCACGGCCTGCTGCTGGGGATGGCAGATTCCCAAACCATTCCAGGCAAGCAGGATAGTCAGTATTTCATTGTCAAGAGGACTCGTTCCCCAAGGAGTGTCCTGTTTTCTACATGCTAGCAAGAGTTCACATCCTATTGCATGGCCTCATTCAGAGACCCTGATGCAATACTGTTAGCACTAAGCTTCACACCCCAGCTAAAATACTGCAATTAATTGGTTCATTTTTGGACATAGTCTTCTCAAGGAATAAAAACAATACTGTGCAACATCACAAACATATTCCAATACAATATTAACTATAAACAATTTTTAAAACACTAATTAAGTACAATTGAATGCTATATAATTTCAGCAGCCAATACTGAAATAACTGTTCATTATAATGTTGGGAAGAATAGATGAGTTCTGAAAACTCTTGTAGAAGTTGCCACAGATGGTGGCCAGATATATGTCTCTTTTGTAGGGTAAGGGCCACTGGAGGAAGGCCGTGCAGTTTTTAGCAGTGTCCTCTAAAGGTTATCTAAAAACATAGCCAATAGACACTTTGAAGAGTTGGGAGTGAGGCAGAGGACTTGTAGGCCCACAACTTGTTGCATTCTAATAATATCTAGTGTGAATTTTGGCCTATTAGACCATGACTTAAAATCCAGCTTTGAACACCAGCTGCATAATCTAGCTAGCACTGATATCATAACAGATTTGACAAAATTGCACAAAACGTCTTGAAATGATTCTACTGAAAAACAACTTCACATGTTTTCAAGAAGTGGTGACAAAGTAAATGTGATTATATGGTATTTCCTTCCCCACTATGCTGGGATTTGGTGCACCGGGGGGAGACGTGGCCCAGAAGCATGACAGAGGAAGGATGAGTCACTCATGCTTCATTTAATGCTAATGGAACATCTAAAGAATCTCTAAAGAACTGACTTCTTTGGAACATCCAAAGATGCCAGGAATGGAATTTACCTCTAGTGGTGTGTAAGACAGATTCTCCAAGCTGACTGTTACGCTCCTTTGAAAAACCAGCAATAGACCAAGAAAAAGTCCCATTGCCTTCTAACATCCAGCCGCAGGAACCTTCCTCGAAAGAACAATGTGCCCCCCATGGTAGACTGTCTGTGAAGGAAAGAGAGGTGGTAGTGGAAGAAACATAAGGCTCATTAGGAAACAAAATGGGATGCGTGTTGCCCCATCGTTTCTTATGTAAGGTCTGGTGAGAAAACAGAAGCAGGCATTGCTTGCATTTCTATGGAAGGGTTATTTGAAGTCTCCCTCCGTGTATTCTGTGGTCATTCACCTTAAATGCGATCCCACGGCCTTCCAACATTGTCCCACGTCCTTCGCCAGGACTCTGCAGGAAAGACCTGCACCGGCTGCCTCTGAGTCATAAACTGGCCTTTCAGAGCAAGAAAAGGCACATGCCGGGAGGAAAGGGGACAGCGAGGGTTTATGCCCCCCCGCTTCTGTGTAGTTTCTTCTCGGGGTCTGAAAGTGACCACCTGGGGTAAATGCAGGGCATGAAATGCGGGTGCAGCAGCAGTGCAGATCGCTGCTAGCACCACAACGCCCTCCATGCACTGGACGCAGGCATGCCTCCAAGGTCAGAGGAGGTGGGTACTGGGTTGCACCCCATGTTGAACTGGTTTGGACTGTATGTGTGTGAGAGTGTATTTACAGTCTGCAGCAGTGCATCGATAAGCCCCGCAAAGCAGACTACAATAGCAAGACTTCTTTTAAGCCCAGAAGCCACAGAAGAAGGGAGCTTTCTCGTGATGGTTTGCTGGGGAGCAGGCCTCAGGGACTGGATAGCCTGTCTGTGGAACAGGGAGACTGTGTGGGCTGGGCGGGCAAGCTTTGCGGGAGCTCCATCAAGCAACATCTCCCTCCCTCCTTCCTGCTATAGCTATTTTTCCTGGTTGGTTGGTTGGTTTGTTTATTTTTATTTTAAAAATTTGTATGCCGTCCATTACTGTCGTCTCTGGATGGCTTACAACATTAATAAGATAAATTAACCATTCCATACTGAGCTTCATTAAAATAAATTAAATAAATCATTTCACAATTAAAATTACTAGGTGTTAAAATATTGGCCAAATAAAAAGGTCTTGACCTGGTGCCAAAAAACATATAGTGAAGGCGCCAGGTGGACCTCTCTAGGGAGCGCATTCCATAGTCGCTCCACCACAGAGAAGGCCCTCCTCCGGGTACTCTGGCTCCTTACCTCTTCCAAAGAGGGTTCCCGGAAGAGACCCTCTGCTGCTGATCTTAGGGGGTGGGAGGGCATGTAGGGAAAAAGGCATGTAGGTTGCCTTTAGTGGACCAGTGAAGTGGCAGGAAGGGGCTCAGAATACACACGCAACCAAGCTGAAAAGCAAGAGGCACTGGTGTGGCCGTATGGGGGGAGACACTTACCACAGGCTGATTCACCAAGCTCTCTGGTGGGGCAATCGCTCTCGAAATCGCAGGTGTGCAGGTGGCTGATGCAACCCCCGTGTGGGCAGGGGACAGTGGAGCCCAGGTCATATTTGGAAAGATGAGGACCTTCTTTGCCTGAAGTGAGTTACACAAGAATGGCTGGATCAGGTGGTGAGAGGCCCGTCCGGAGCTCCTCTCCCCATTCCTCACAGGCAGCAAGGACGCACGCAGCGGGGTGCACATGAGGGTCGAGTCATGATGGCAGCACAGACAGATCCACTGCAGTTACTTATTTTGGTTAAAACAATGAAATCCCACCTTTCCACTGATTCTGGACCACAAGGACAGACACATCTAGAGACAGCATTTGGCTTCTACGTACACAGGGGCAACAGCCCACATGGCTGGTGAAATAAGGTACAGAAAGGAACATTCCTGAATTTTAGTTGGGGTGCTTAGCTCTCAACTAATATACAAGAGCAGTGAATATTAAGTGCAGTTTCCCATCCTTTGGCTCTGCACCAAAGGCAAAACGATTAAAGAAGAGTTTGTTCTAGCTGTCACTGAAAGATCTACTGGCAGCAATCCATCTGTGATGGCTGATCCATACAGGCAAGTGGGAACCTCTACCCAAATGGTTAGATCCACCTCTCATTTATTTTAATCCTCTTCAAGCGTTTCCAGGGAGCCCCTCCTGCCTTGTGTCCAGCCCTTTCCCTGCCCTGCAGGAGTTTCCCAAGGGAAGTCCCACCCTTCCCACCACTGTCATGTTCAAGCAGAAATACTTCCCCATAACAAAAACAGGAAGGAGTTTCCACCTGCCTTCCTTTCTAGGATTTGTGCTTGTCCGACTTCCATTAGTTGGTGCTTCCCGAACTGAGTAGCTAGAGATTCAGGAAGATAATACCCCTGGAAGAGTCTTCCTAGTCATTGCAGTCTTTACCCATTGTGATAGAAGAAACAGCATACAACATAATTGTTTCATTCATGCAGGCATGTGGCTCCAGGCTTTTGTTTTGTTTTGTGCATTCACTGGCCCCTATAGAAAAAGGCCTAACAAAATGGGAATTTGCACCAGCCCTTGCTCTGACACCAACAAGAATGGAAAGAAACCTTTACTTATTATTTCGACACATCCATATCTCATTTTTTTCTGTAAGGAGCCCAAGGCAGTGTGCATGGTCCATCTTCTTTACTCCATTTATCTCCCAATGATCTTATGTAATAGGTTACTGAGTGCACAAGCTGAGACAAGAAAGGCCCACACCTCCCAGCTTGCTCCAGGGAAGGCTTCTCTGTCTCAACTGGTATAGGATTGTCCCCTAAGTCTTGGAAATTCAGTTCATGAATAACAGAGGGTGACCTTTGCAGATGCTAGATTTACCACAGCTCCCCAGCACAAGCTTCCCTTGCAGCAGCTGTTGGGTTCTCAGAGAGCAAAATTTATTGCTCCCTTTTTTGGTTCTTTCCCCATCTAGTCATCATATTTCTCTGTATTTGCATTTCAGAGACTTCTTGATCAATCGTTCAGTTTGGCTTAAATCACTCAAGTTCCCTTCCACTGTTAAATCTTTTTCACTAAATATTTCCCCCGCACAAGCATTTAAAATATTTGACCCACAGAAAGAATAAATCCCTTACAAGCTATTGCTCTTAAAGAGACATTCACACACAGGGGAAGGAGAGAGGAATATGAAAGGAAATTGAATAGAATCATAAAAAAGAATTTTTAAAATGTGATAAAGCCAGAACTTTAACAAAGACATTCTGAAACCAGTGACTTTATTTCAAATCTTACTTAATCTTCATTAAAATTATGTCCCTTCTCCATGTATCTATTTGGAGTTGCTGCTTTAAAACTGAAAAGCAATTCTGGACCTAAAATAACTGTTTATACTGATTTAATATATGTAAAATATATGCATTTTCTTATATATTTATGATCTGTCTACACCATTACAACATAGGAACAACATTATCCTTTTCCCTCACTGAAGCTTTTAAAAGTATTTTAATGTGAAAGAACAAAAAAGAACTTTTGAATCCAAGCATATTGTTCTGCAAAACATTCCGATAGAAAAAAAGATGTTTCTCTATTTTATAGTAATACTTGGGTTCAAAAGCATAGCTTTTAAAGTCACCTGGTCTCATTGTGAAGCAGAGTCATTCCTGAAGTTTTCTAGTCAAGGGACCATGCAGAGCAATTTGACCACCCGCAGTTTAATAGTTATATTAAGACATACCATGAAAGCAGTTTTTGAGTTGCAAAGAGCCCAGTGCCAACAGCCCGGCACTCTCTTCCCCGCAGCTCGAATGCAGCAAAGTGAGCTCAAAGGGCTTTTCCATTTGTCCCACCGAACCTATCAGCACTTTCCATGTCACCCTGCAAAAATTTTTAAAAAACACAATGATTTTTATATAGAAATCCCAAAGCCTTTCATGTGTGTTTTGCTTCTGTTTAAACTTGCAGCCTCTTTGGCCTTCTTGCAGCCACAACTCCTTCAAACACATTCTCTAGGTATCAAAGCAGATGACTGTTTGCAAAGCAGTATGTTGAGTTTTATTAAGAAACAACGCTATATGTTGCTCTTGTACTTGATGGTAACAGCTAAAATGTCTAGAGCAAATGAAAGGAAAATGATGCTGTCAGCTTTACACTGAAAAAGGGTACGGGGCTTTGGCATAATGGAAGAAATAACCCACATAGTGCAAATCAGAGAGGTTTTTTTTTTAATTGAGTGAGGACTTCAGTTTCTTGAAGTCTAAAATGTGCATATACTAGAACAAGTCTCTGTATGGCTCATGTTGAGTTTTCTTTCATGCAAATAGGGAAAACTGTCTGGGAAATATTCTAACAAAAACAGGTTCCATGACCAAATTCAAAACAAGGTTCAGTTTTAAAGGTAATTGATATCTCTCCCTTGGCATCAGTGTTTAGGCCTAAGGGTTTCTATGGAAATAATAGCGATGAAAATTTTTGCCTAATGGGAAGGGAACTATGCCTTCAGTTTATGTTTTTGAACAGAGAATTGGCTATATTTCTAGAAGGAAACTTAAAAGGAATACAGATGACTGAATCCTCCCCTCCCCTTTCAGTACTTTCTAATGAGATATTTTGTTATTAATTAAAGGCAATGCAACTCAGATTTGAGGTTAAAAGCCCTGTCTCTAGTGCATTGTGGAGATGTGGGTGGGGGAAGAAAGAAAATGATGGGGTAACCAGTGTGAAAATTACTTGAAAATAGGGATGCAGGAAAATTTTGTTTTTGTTTGCAAAGCAAGCAAGCATGCTCTGAGCACAAGTGCATATAAGCTGAAAATATTCAAGGATTGTCTAATGCATGCTCTCATTGGTCTCCTTCCCAATTCCCAGTTCAATCTGTGCAAATTTGCGCATTTGTTTAGATTTCCTCTGCAGACGGAACCAGCCCCAGAGGAAAGTTGCATAAATTAGCCGAATCTGGGGAAACTTCTCATCGAATTGCTGTTCCATTTCTGCAAGTTTGCCATTTGGACAGAGTGAGCATAATCAGAGCCGCAAACTGGAACTGAGCTTGAGGCAAGCAGCAAGACGATGTTTGGAAAATCCTGGTGATCTCAAATGTCCCTGGCTCACCCATCGTTGTTTCGGATGAGACCAGCCTGCAACACTCCTGCCGCTACTTCACCACTGGGCCTAGTCAAAAGCAAGTATTCCAAGTTCAGTCTTGCCGGGAAGGTAGCAAGAGCAATGCTGACTTAGACTATTAGTCGTGGGCCTGCCCCAAAGTTCAGCAGTATCGGGTACAGGTTTGTCACAGAATTACTCAAATAAATGGAGAGCCGTTGATTGACAATGGACTAAGAATATAGTGGTTGTTTTAGAGAAAGCAAAAACCAGAGAGAAGGTGGAAAGCTAATTGTGTGTGCATTAGTTGCAGTCAGAATCATGCTTGCACAAATAAGGGTTGGCTACTAAAGCCGCTAGAATCACTCATTTGGACAAACAAATGGATTTAGGCCATAGGAGGAAAGGACAGCTAGAAAATGCAGATTCTTTTTGAAAAAGTGCCATTTCTTGCAGAGTAGCATTACCATTCATAAAGATCAGATCTCAATGGGCTTTACCCAGCACTATTGCTCCATTCACAAAAGCTTTTTGATCCAGTAGAGATTTCCATGCAATGGGAGAAGGAGGGAATTTTGTACATTTGTCCTTTCTTTTGTAGCCTCCCCCCCCCCCGCCACACACACTGTTCCAGAGGGGCAAATAAAAAAGGGGGAATGTAGGAAAGGCACCTCCTACCCATCCCCATTCAGTGAAGCCTCAGTTCTTCTATAAACAAAGGGATACCATTGGATAGAGCCCTATATTTTTGTGCAATCTGTCTGCATATGAATGGCTCACTGTATTTCCATTCTTTTGTGCTACTCATGCTTTAAGAAAGATTAAAAAGAATGCAGACTGTTCATTAACGTACATATACCAGATCTTCCCCTGCAAAAACACCAACACCCATTTCACAAAGTGTCCTGCCCACCAGGTCTGATTCATCTTTGCCTCTCTTTGTTACAGTGCATCACAGCAGCCGTAGCATTGAGTCACTCCAAATTACTAGCATTGCAAATCAGAGCAAAGTATTCGAACAACCTTTAAAATTCGTATGACTATATTACATCTGTAAAGAATGAATATATTACATCTGAGCTGACCTTCGGCTGCAGCCCTACATCTAGTAAGCATCTTAATATTCAGAATGCAAAAGACCGAGAGGTAGTTTTGCAAAAAAAATAAAGGTGTGAACAACCCATTTTGGTGCCCTGGCCAAGGATTCACTTGTGTAGCTGGATTCTGGCAGATCCTCAACTGCAGCAGCTTCTCTCCAGTGCCATAAATAAGGCCCCCTTCACACTTGGTTCAAACAGGAACATTTTAGAGCCAATTTAATTTTCTTAATGGAACCCAGAAAAAAGCCCTGTGTGTACACAGGAGGAGATGGATTGTAGCAGCAGTAAATCAGGGAACTCAGCCTGGCAATACTTTTACTATTGATTTTATGTAAAGAGGACGTGTCTTGTTAAATTGGCTAATATTACTCCCAGTCTAAATATAGACATTCAACCTGGTGTGCATCGCTCAAGAAGGCTCTGAGCAACATGCATGTAAAAACATGAACAAAAACCAAACCAAACCAAAGAGAAACCAAACCAAGACAAAGCTCAAACTAACAGAAATTCAGGTAGGGAGACGGTAAGCATGATCCTATGGCTCCTAGACATTGTCTGGGGAGGGGGCACAGGATAGTTCATATTCCTCGCATGGACTTCAGAGACAGTGCTGTGGCCTCAAAGCTGGGAATCGGAGCTCCAATCACCCTCCCTGGTCCCCAGTATCCAGCATGGAAAGCAGCATTGGAGAGGGGCTCAGGGGAGTGCAGTGGGGGTGGGAAAGTGAGGTCACTGAGGCTGCCTGAATATAAGGCCCTGCTGGTTTCCATCCTCTCTTTTTCCTCATTGCAAACGCAATAGCTAGATGGTCAAAAATGGCTGTCTGGCCAAAGTGCAGAGCAAGAGAGAAAGGAGGTGCCGATCACCTCCACTGCTCCCCCCACTCTGCACTGGACGGGCCTCTGGCTCTGGAGGCTCCTGCTCGTCCCAGTGGGATTGCACATGAGGGCAGAATGCGGTAGCAGAATGGCACCTCAGTGTTCATGCAAAAACGGAACACATTCCAAGCGGCTTTCTCGAGCTGGCGCAAGAGCTTCCAGGGTGGCCTGCCAGATGCAGCTGTCTGTTGTGCGTTCCTTCAAGGTTGTTTCATAGCATCGGGAAGAGCCTTGTGTATTCTTTTTGTCTCCTACCATTGATGTAAATGATGGCACCAGCTACACCCAGGGCCTTGTCTTTCTGCAGCAGAGACATCTTCACAAGGTGAAAAGCTTCAGGGTGCAATCCCATTCCTGTGAGGTAGAAAAAAGTCCTCCAGCTCTCAGGATTCTCCTGCCAGCAGATCTGGCTGAGTAAAGGGCCAGCAAAAGTCTTAGATGGGGTGTCAGTGATCTGGCTCTGGTGCTTCTCTGCCGGTGAAAGAGAAAGCACTTAAGCAGGCAGCTTCTTCATGCAAGAGACAGTTCTTTGGACTGGGGAGCAAGCACTGCAGCTCGGGTTTGCTCGGGTCTTCGGCATCTGCTGACGGAGCCTGTGACTCAGCCACTGCTGGAGCCTTGACTTGCCTCCAAAGCTCAGTCCTCTGGGCTCACAGTGGAAACTGGAGTCTCAGCTTTCCTGAGGCCTGACAGCTGAATGAGAACACAATGTTGGCACAGCTTTCTTTCAAAAAGAAAGGAGGCAGACTCTGGAACGGTTTCACTTTTAAGACTGCATTTTCATTCCATGCATCAATTGGAGAGTAGCGATGACAGTTCTCTTGAGCCAGGCTCAGTGTCAGTGGGGAACTTCCTGAAGGGAAACACGCTCTTGAAATTTGCTGTAGCTCACGTTGCAATCCAAGACAGAGAAGACCTGGTGGCCACTTTGGCTGACAAATGCTCTGCATGCCCAGGAGAGGCATCACTCCAGGCGGAGCAACGCCTTTGGAAGCACCCTTGCTGCTGGGATCTGCACATAGTGGCAGGCAGCCTGAATCGGATTTAGGAGCTCCCCCTGGAGGGGGTCTCAGACTCTGGGCTGCCACTATACATGGGGCTCTCACCCATGGATGGAGCCGGCAGCTATGGGCCAGTTCTAAGGTGCCAGGGTCCAAGGCCAGGACATAGGCAGCAGGAGACAAGACAGAGGCACCAGGACCAGGGCAACAGAACTTAAGGCAAGGCAGAGTCCAAAGTCCAAAACAAGGCTTAATGGCAAGTCCAAATTGTAGTCGCAGAATAGACCAAGGTCAGGAATCAGGAAGAAGAACAGAAAGTGCAGGTACCTTCAGGCAGGATAACTGAACAGGATAAATGGCAAGGCAAGATAAACAGCATGGTAAGATACATGGCAAGGGTCAGGAAGATTGCAGGAGATGAACCATGGTGAGAAGTAAAACCTGCATGGCAAGGCAGGATATAAGAGGAACCAAATGCGTCAAGGGTCATGCAAGGTGCAGGATCTGGACCAGAGTCAGCAGGAAGACCTGCATTGCTAAGGCAAGGCAGGATGGGCAGCGCAGCAAGGCAGGGAAAGGATACATGCAGCAAGGCAGGGTACAGGTCAGGCAAGAGTCCGGCAGAACAGCAAATAGAGGGACCTATGCTGCTGATGCTAGTTCTGGAGGAAAGAGCTTGCTCTTATATGGCTCTTTCCCCAAGCCTCCCAGGATGCTGAGAGCTCCATCAGGGCCTGGGACCCATCTTAGGAATGCTGTGGTGATGGTTCTGGTTCTGGCCACCAGAGCTACCCCTATCTCAACATAAGGCAACATAGGGCTGGGTTGACTATTTCAGCTGGCAGCCATGTAGCACAGCTTAGTAAGTTTCAGTGGGGCTTTCTTGTGTCACACCAGGATGTGTGTGACACAACAGCTTCACATGCTTCTTTAGAGCTTCACATGCCTCTTGTGCTGGCCAGTGTAAGATCAGGTTTCTCAATGGGACTCTCCTAATCCAGGCTTTCTGTACTGCAAATGTGGTGCATGTGTGGTCTCTCCAAAGTCAGGACACAATGAGCAGCCACTGGCCCCCAGTAAGAGTGCTCAGTCCTTTATTGATGAAGGGATGCATGGGAGAGCTTTTCTGATGAGTTCATACCCAGGTATTTGTCATACTGAATAATCCAGGCAGCTTACTGGAAGTTGATTCTATAGAAAACAGTTTTCGTAGGAATCAAAGTTCTAAGTAAGAAAAAAATATGTAATCTGCCTGTTTAGAAGCTAGGAATTTAGAGTGCTCCTAGTCAACCTGGATGCATTTCCTCTGAAATACAGTGTTTTGCTGAAGTTTGCTAGAAACTCAGTATAACCCAGTTTTAGCTTCCCCTGCTATACCAAGGTACCCTCTCATAGAAACATGTACTGAAAACTGTACATACACACTCACCAATCATATTAACAACAACAGTAAAGCATTGACCAGTCATTAAAACAAAAACATGAGAACTCCCTGCCATAGAAAGATAGAGAAATCTAAAATAATTTTGGTAATTGGTCCTCTCTCTTGCATTACAGTTTGCAATGCATAGCCAATTCCTCTCTCTGTAATGTACTACTACTTCATGACTGGATATGGACAACACAATTGCCTGCAGTCATGGGTTGAGTGTGGATTGTCATTGAGCTGTGGATTGCTGTTAAAATGTGAGTTGTCATGTTGTCTGAACTCTACTGTTAACCATGAACAACTCACAGAGAACTCACAGTTTCTTGGGTTGTGAACTGTGGGCTGTTTACCATGGTTTCTTATCTCAGCAGGGTTCAGACAACACAACCCAAGTTCAATAACAACCCAAGGTTCAATGACAATAAACACTCAACTCATGCTCAGCCCCTAAGAATGGGTTGTCCTCCGATCGGAACCCAGTCTGTACGTAGCGGAGAGAGAGATTTATTTTCTTTTATTTGTTGTTGTTATTGTTGCGATTCAGAGTTTCTTCAATTTCACTTCCAGTACTGCTGTGCTTCACCCTCAACTGAAGGAGGCGCAATGAGACAATTTGTGGCATCCAATGGTAGCCTATAGAGATTTATTAGAGATTTCTTATAGTTACTCCTACCCTCCTTGCTCCAAACTGTTCCATATGCAAGATAGTTCAGGGAGTTTTCACCTTTGTTACTTTGATTTCCTTCAGTCATAGGAAAAAATGTCCAAAAAATTAGTTTAGCCAAGAGACAATTTTTCTTGCAAACACAAAATTTAGCCAGAAGTTCTGCTTCTGCAATGCACTGTAGCTAATCAAAGCACAAACAAAAGGTTCTGAGTTCCCACATCTGACCACACTCTAAATACAAGGATGCAATTCGAGAGCTCTGGGCTCAGCCTCATCAAACTGGAAATTCCATTATAAATCTCATCAAAAATATTCTCTCAACACCATGCAGGTATCAGTCAGGTCACGGAAAGATGCTTTCAGCTGGTGAAAAGAATAGCTGAAGCAACCCTACCGCAACTGCATCCTCCCAAGGCTGCTGCTCCTTTCTCAAGTGCTCCAGTGTCAGGAGGTAGAATTACCACCCTGACAAAGCCCACTGGCAATGGCAATTTGCCCATGGATGCAAAATTCTGGGCTAGTCTCACATCAAAAATTATCTAATTTCCACTCATAAAATCAGATAAATGTGATGCTGATATGCTCGTGATATCTAGGAAAAAATCCATTAAATCACACCCATTATAGTATGTTATTTCAATTCTAGCATGCTTATTAGAAAAAGAAGCCACATGCTTTTGACTTGTAGAAAAGAACATTGCTAGATCTTACATTGCTAACAACCCTCCCCCCCCCACCCACATTCTTAAGACATATTTGGGAGGATCTGGGCATTTTGGTTCCATTTCAAATGCGCAGTAGAGGAACTGAACAAACAGGCCATCCTCTGAAGAGACGAGATTCCTGGCATATGAACAGGAGGAAGAAGGGCCTCCAAGCCTGGCAACCAAGCTCTGTAACTCATCCAGTTTTCCCAGATTAATAATGTATCAAGCTGCAGAAAGCTAACTCATCCCTTAGTGAAGTCTAAAGCTCCTTGGGGAAAAGCTATAAAGGTCTAATATATTGAACAAACAAGTCTTACCAAGAATGTTGTTCATGTCCTTCTTGCAAATGGATGGGAAAACTCTGATTGGTGTCCACATATCGAGTTTCAGCAGAGAGTCCTTCTAGACTGGTGTCCCATGAATACACAGCAAGCTCTAAGAGACAGGAACTGGAGCTCCAAGGCAGGATAGGGCTGTGGAGGCTGAATATGCACCTATCTGAGATCCTGCTAATGTTCAGAAGAAGAATATCCCCTGCAGAAGAGTCACAAAAAAGCAAAACTCTAAGAAAGGACCGAACATACAGAGGACAGGTCTTGAGAAGTCAAGCAATTAGTTTGCAAAAATAATACATATTCATAAAGAAGACAAAGAGAAATTGACGAGGAGGAGGAAGGGAGGAGAGGAGGAAGAAAGAATGAGCAGGGAAAATTGAGTGAATTCTTTTAAGGATTCATATGGAGTTCTGGATGTTCTATGGCAGGGATTCTCAAGCTTGCTTGCTTTATTCATTTGATTTATATCCCAACTTTTTACCGTTTAAAGAACTCAAAGTGGCTTATATAATTCTCCTCATGCTCTCAGTCTTATTCCCACAAGAACCTACTCATTCCCTGTGAAGTAGGTTGGGCTGAGAGTCTGACTGGGCACAGGTCACCCAGTTGACTCCATGGATGAGCAGGACTAGAACCCAGATCACCGGATTCCCAGTCCCACCCTCTAAACCATTACACAGCACTGGTTTCTCAGAAACAACTGTTCTTATGCATACTGACTCAGAACTAAGTCAATAAGACGTACTCCATGTAACTGCATTGTGTTGCAACCTTAGTCATCATGAACTTAGTTTCTTGATCAAATCAAGAAACCATTTCAGCATTTTGCTGGTGTAACTATAATCAAGCATAAGTCAGACTGGGATTGTTCAAAACCGGCACTTTTCTACCTGGGCAGACTATCAGCAGAAGGGCTCAGGAAGGAAGACTGTTATCTCTGCTCCTCCACAGAAGATGACTAAAAGCAAATTATCTTAGGCTGAAGAAAGTAATTTAAATGAGACTGATTCAGCCCCAGTGTAGCCATTGTACTACATGTAACACCTTTCTCCATGTAATGGTTTTAGATTACGAGAGATATTATCACATTATCTCCATACACAAAAATGTGACATGAGGAAAGACTTACGTATGCATCTACCTCTGAGAAAAAAAAAAATGTACAGGACATGGGAGTGGGTTGAATTCATCCACAATATCCATTATGAGAAGTGAATGGAAATAAGACCAAGAGGATTACATTGAATTAAATATTACAAGTCTGACAGTGCCTAACAGATCAAGATCGATGCAACCATATACTCCTACCCGGCCTTTGAGATCAATGCAGGGGGTGCTCTTGTGTGAGCCATCCCTTAGGGAAGTACGAAGGGTGACTACTAGGAAGAGGGCCTTTTCTGCAGCTGCTTCCCACATCTGAAATGCTCTCCCTAAGGAGATTCACCTGGCACCTTCCTTGTACTCTTTTTGGCACCAGGAAAAAACCTACCTCTTTAAAAAAAACATTTTAATACTTAATAGATGCCACTGTAACCTCTGGCTGTTTTAATTTTTTACCAAAATTCTTAATATTAATGCTATTTATATTGGATTTTTAATGGTTATATTAACTTATTGGTTTTATAGGTTTTAACTCTGTGACTGTTAGCTGCCTAGGGATGCCATAGGTGAGATAAATGTTTCAAACAAACAAACCTATAGTAAAATTTTACTTCCCCCTTGCCCCCCCCGGCCAAAAAAAAAAAAAGCCTACTTACCAGATGAGTTAGACTACAACTTCCAGACTATAACCAGATTCTAGTTCAACTATAGCTAGTTTAGTAGGGCAGCAGATTGGGAAAAACTGCCCCAGGACCTGGAGTATCATATTATGAAATCCAGAGCAATACAGACGCCAGGGCAGATCTCTCTTCTGAATTGGAGAGAAAGGGTAAGTGGGCTGCTTCAGAGCAGAGCATGAGGAAGTGAGCTTTCTGCTTCCCTTTCCTGTGCAGAGGGCTCATTCTCAGTATTGTGCTCGGCCTTGAAGCCGGCAGAGGTAGCATGGAAGACTCATATTGGTTCTGGCTGATCCAAAGACAGCATGTCAACAGAGACCCCTTTTCTCTGATCCAAAGTCCTCTGAGGACATAGGGAAAGGGTCAAGGCTGAGCACAAGAGATGGCTAGTACTAAACTAAACCAACATGCCTTAGGGGTCCTTATTACTACATTGTTGCCCAGGTGGGAAGAATTGCTAATAGTAACATGGCAAGAAACCATATCCTTGAAATGGGGCGTATGACTCTTAGATGTGGTTACTGAGCAGTATCTTGCTGGTGACATATCAATTGGCCCTTATTTTCAGCTTCTTCTGAAGGTACCCTTTCTAAACAATCCCAGTCTATGGAAAGAAATGTGAACTACAATAAAGAAAGGAAGAACCCATTTTCTGCAACGGAGGTCCCACATCTAAATTACAATATGCTTTTTATATGTTAATAAAAAGCAGTATTTAGCACATGATGTTGTATAATGAATGGAGTATTCTTATCTGAAAAATAAACTATTTGTGCTATTTATGAAAGTCATGGAGTCATATAAAGATCAATTTGTGTTTCAATTCAGAACTTTATTTGATATGTACTCAAGAGAACTTTATTTGATATGTACTCAAGAGTACAGTGTTGGATACCATACTATTAGGAAAGAAAGTCATCTTTGATGGCTAGGATGGCTTGACACAAATGGGTGCATGGAGCCCAAATAAACCACCTTCTTGGTCTCTGTTGGATGAACTGTTCTCCATGATCTGTTGGTTACCCTGAGAAGTCAGAGCAACAACTGAAGACAGGAACCAGTCTGGTTTTCCAGAAGCATTGGCAGATGGAACCCAGGAACAATTCAGTCCAAAGTTGCAGGGGATTTCTGTTGTAAGAAACATAGAAGAACATTAGGGCTCATGATTAAGGCAATCAGTTGAGTTAAGATGATGATGATTTAAATGCACCCTTGCTTTTGTTTTTACAAGACCAAAGACTGTATTACTGCTGTTAAATATAAATACTAGATGTGAGTCTGACAATATGCAAACAAAACAGAATGTGAGACTTGCACCAGTTTATTTCCTGAGATATTTTGAAGAAGTAATAAAACAATCCAGGAAATGGAGGCACTGCATTGTTTTGCAGCACTTATAAGCAAAGATATGATTGAGCTGAGAAGAGGAACAGAATTCATGGCTAAAAACTGTTGTGCTTCCTGTGCATTTAACTAGAATTCCAAAGGTCAACATAACATATTTTAAGGTTTCTCTGGAAGTTCTGTGCTCCATCTGAAGTGTTTCTTTCCTTTCTTTCATAGTTCTGCAGGAGGAAAAGGAGAGTGACGGGTTTTGCAAGTATGAACAAGAAACTGGCTGTCCATGGTGCTGACTGGCTATACACTTTGTGTGATACCACCTCCTCATCCCCAGAGCAGTTGTTATCTTTTAACAATGCTGCAAATGAGCATATGGGGCAATATTCAATTGTGTCATTCCATTCCTGCAAATGATGTTGCTCTAATGGAAACTAAATTCTGAACTATGAGTAAAAGAACCCAAATGCAAAGATGTTTGCACAAGTGCAGCTGCAGAAGCAGTTGTACAGTAATATACAATTACACAATTGGTGGCACAAATGTAATGGGTGACCATTTGCTTGCACAAATGTGTGAGCAATGGAAAGATTCAGTGTAGCTCTGTTAGCACTACTTGAATTTGTGGGATGACATCTTTGGATAAATAGTGCCTATGAAACATTTTGTCAAGACAGATATTAAGTTATGCATCTTGCACAAAGTATGGTGGAGAAACAGGGATGATGGCTGAACCAAAATTTTATTTCTTTATTATATTTATATCCAGCCATTTTTCATCTTGTAACAAACCAAACATGGCTTACACGGTCCTCTTCCTCCTCTTCATTATATCAGCAAAACAACCCTTTGAAGTAGGTTAGGCTGAGACTCAGTGACCAACCCAAGACGCTAGCCTACAACTCCCATCATTCCTAGCCAGGAGAGCCAATATTGAGGGGTGATGGGAGATGTAGGCCAAAACATCTGGAAAGCCACATATTACCCATCCTTGGTATATGGATACCATCCTTATACCCTGTGAATAACCCCTGTGAATGTGGAGGGTTGACTATATGTGCCCCAACTTGCACGCAGATTTGACTTAAAGAGCCAGTGTGGTGCAGTGGTTAAGAGCATGGGACTGGGACTCAGACAATCTGGGTTCTAGTCCCAGCTCAGCCATGGTGCCAGCTGGGTGACTTTGGGCCAGTCACAGACTCTCAGCCCAACCTACCTCACAGGGTTGTTGTTGTGGGGATAAGATGGAGGAGGAGAATGATGTAAGCTGCCTTGAGCCTTTTGTAGGAAAAAGGCAGGATATAAATCGAATAAATAAATAAATATAAATAATAGAGTAAAAACTCTAACAACTTTTTCTAATGCAAAAGATGGTGAACACCAACTTAAAGTTCCATGCCTTCTGCACTCTGGTAGTTCCACACTTAACATGCTTCCATGTGTCCCAAGTCAGTGCAGTGTTAGTCAAAGAAAACACTCCTTTTCTAGGCTGCTGCTTCCATTATAACTGCCACATGCTTGTGATGTGAAACATATGCAAACCTAGGAAGTGTCTGCCAATTTAGAAAGGCTTCACCTTTTCTTACACTCCACATATTGGTCCTCCTAAGAGAACATATGAGCTGAACTTACGTTAGACTAACATTGAATACCACCCAGTCAATAACATGGACACACTGGTTGAAATACACATGAAGCCTGCATTGACACTGGGTTTTTCAATCACGTTGACTTTTATGCAATCATTCACACTTGAAAAGTTTCTTGTTTAAGCATGGTTCTGCAAAGAACGAGCAAACCAAAGTAGCAGTCCAAAATGTAATTAAGTGAGTCAGTGTGGTGTAGTGGTTAAGAGTGTAGAACTGGGACTCAGGTGATCTGAGTTCTAGCCTCTTCTCCGTCATGGAACCAAGTGGGTGATTTTGGGCCAGTCACAGATTCTCAGCCCAACCTACCTCACAGGGTTGTTGTGGGGAAAAGATTGACACCAGCAGGAGGAGAATGATGTAAGCCACTCCAAGTTATTTAAAAGAAAAAAGATAGGATATAAAATAAATAAATAAGTTTACTAATGGCCAAACTAGGCATTTTGGCTGCAATATATGGGACCACTGGTATTGTTTACCAGGACATCTTTTAAAAATTGTTATCCAAAAGATCCAATATCGATAGCATGTTCTGTTATGTTAGGCATCACTTGAAGAGGAAATCTACAAAGAGGGCAAAGAATGAAAACAACTTTTCCAAGCATTGTTAGCCTCTGGCAAATACTGCTAATCCACATCAGAACTGATATGGTTCCCATTAACTTTACAGCTGGATGTCAGTTAGTCTTGCATGTTCAAAATAATTAGAATTACATAGGCATTTTTTCAGTGATACTCAGATTGTGACATAGAAAGGGAAATCTCTTCAGAAATGTAGAAGACCTGGAGAGGAGAGGGGCTTGGGAATGTATGTTTATTTGCAAATCAATCAATCAATCAATCTCTAGCCCATAAATCTGTGATTTTCCTAAAGCCTGTAATGCTTCACTGAAATTCAGATGTTAGATAAACTGCCTGTCTTCTAATGAATTCATACTGCACATTATGCAAAGAATGTATGTCATATGGACCATGGGATGAAGCAAAAACAAACCTATTCTAATAAGTATTTTGTTCCATTCAGATAAACAATTCATGGGGAACAAAGGAATGGCTAAGAAATGCTTTTCTAAAGCCATATATTGAACTCGTGGTGCCTGAACTCCTTTCTAAGTAGGAAGGAACTGCTGGGACAAGATACAGAAAGTGTGTGAGTTGCTGGAAATCATGTGGCTTCTGTGTCCAGTTCATTTCCTGACTGGTAAGTGCTGCATGAAAGGTAGGAGAGCATTTGGAACAAAATGTTCATCATTCAATTAGATCCTAAGGCTAAAGGTGCCAGTACATCAATGCTCAGGATGAGGGACTGATATATTTATTATTCTATGCTAGGGATGCTGGAGAAACTGGCAATTCAAGTGAGCTTGGATTTCTAGAAATCCAACCTGTGGATTCTGTAGCAAAGTGGCCTTTTCATCTGAATTTTTAAAAAATAAAATAAATAAAAAGATTTTACAATAATAATTTTAAGAGATATGCAGATTCCATGGACTTGTGGACAAGTTTTCCACTTTTGGGGAAGGATTTGCACTCATCTCCATTCTCATTCTTTTGCAGCAACTCAGGAAACCTAATGCATGCTTCTGCAGATACTAATTCATGCTTACACTAGTGCACATTAGCACAGACAGAAGAAAAAAAAGTTGACAAAATCTGCACATCCCTAGTCCGTGCTGGTGCACTTAAACAGAACTTGTTTTCTTTTGGCCTTGAGGGTTTGTTTTACTTCTCACACAGCACAGAATTACAAGCTTATAATTTGCACAACTTATAATGATTAAGGGATATGGTGCCACAAGTGATGCTGGCCACTGACTTAAATAGCTTGAAGTGGTGGCTACAGAAATTCATGGAGGACAGTTCTATTAATGGCTCTTGGGCATGGTATCTAAATGGAGCCTCTAGATTCAGGGGAATTATAGAGGATCTAAACTGTTTAGATTAAAACTGTTTCTTATTAAACCTGCAGGGGAAGCAGCTGCCTTCATGAATGTCCAGAATCATAGAGGTGATCAGAGCTAGGAACAGAGTCTTGGTCAGGATGGTCTAATCCAGCAGAACTTTTAGGAGAAGAATATTGCTCTTTCAGAACACTTTGCTTTATGGTAATTAATACAATCCAGATTTCCTTTGGATCCATCTAATTATAACACAAACACGCCTTTCACATGCCATAGTAGACCTGCATGTATATTCCCTTGCATAGCACAATCCATCCTTATGCCACACACATCTATTTCCTTGAAGTGTAAGTTCAGGGCCAGGCACCTGAAGTGTTCCCCTGGAGGGGTCAACACGTCAAAAAGACTTACTTAACAGTTCAGGCATCAGCTCCTTCTTTCATCTTTCATCTATTTCTACCTGAAGGTACACCAGAATTTACTGGATTTATTTAAGCATCTCATAGAATGACACTACTTCTGACATGTTATGATAATGATACAGATAAAAACACCATTAAAGCAACAATAAACTAGCAAACATGCTAATAAAGTATAAAATGCAATGTCACATTGCAGGAACTGAGATAATAACTATTATTATCATACCTCATTCATAGAACACCCTCCTCAAGAAGTGTGCCTGGCGGTGTCACTCCTAGCTTTTTGACACTAGGTAAAGATGTTTTCAGTAGTGGATTTTAGTAGCTACAGTGGTACCTTGGCTCACAAACCTAATCCATTCCACGACTCTGGTTTCGACCCAAATTGGTCGTGACCCAAGTCAAATTTCCCCATAAGGTTCAGTGTAAATAAGGTTAATCCATTCTGTAATCATTTTTTTAATCACTAAAATTTGAAACAAAGTGACAAGGAACAACAAAGATCATGGCTATCTCCCCCCATGAGCACGATCGCAGCCATCTCCCCCTCAAGCTCAACCGTGATCACGCCCATCTTCCCTGCATGAGCGTGGCCATGATTGTGGCCATAGATGGCGTGATCGTGGTCATGCTTGGGCAGGGAAGACAGCGCGATCATGGCCATCGCCCCCCACACCCAAGCACGACCGTGATCATACCTGTGCAGGGAAGATGGGCACGATTGCGATTGTCACCCGATGTGGAGTTCACGACCTGCGGCAAAATTTTTCTGAAATTTTGTAACCTGATTTGGTCGTGAACTGAGGCGTTTGTGAGCCAAAGTACCACTGTATTGGCTTTAACACTGTTTAATTTCTATTACTGTGTGCCTTGTTGTAATTTCTGCCAATTGTTAGTTTTGGTATTGTTTTAATTGGATTTTTTACCTTTAACTGTTATTTTAGCGTTTCCTGTTTTATTGTAAGCTATCCAGAGAGCTTGTTGGGCTACGGGACAGCATATAAATATAATCAATCAATCAATAACATACAAAAATAACATGTAAAAAATTAAAAGCCTGGGAAAACAGGCAGCTCTAACCAGGTATCTAAAAAGTAGCTAGTAGAAGTACCATTTCAGCTTCCCTTGTGAAACCAGCTCTGCAGCGTGAGGGGAAATCTATTTCATTACTAGTTGTTGTTCCCCTTGTTGGATCTACCCATTATTTTAATTATTTAGAATATTTCTAATATTTCAAATTTTTCTAAAGCACCCTTCCTCCAGATGGATACCAGGATCGTATACAAAACCACGAATAAAGTTAATCATGGCATAGAAATACAATACAATAAAACATCAATAACAATGAGAAAGAACAGAGCAGCCAAACCATAAGAACCATAGGGGAGGCAGCGTATTTATTTATTTGTTTGTTTGTCAAATTAAAAAAAGCCTGAACCTTTTGCTTAAAATGTTGCTTCACACTTTCACATGGCAGAGTCAGCACTGTGGAAAGTTCTGAATAGGAGGAGACTGGTCAAGCTGTCTGGGAATTATCACATTTACTATCTACATGGAGGTGCCAAGCGAGGACAAGCAAAACTAGCAAGTCTGTCCAAGATTTTCAGTTCAAAGAAACTGTGTGTTGTACTGAATTTTCAAGACTCAATGTGAAGTTGTTCTTGACTATAATCAATAAATGGATTCACTTCCCAGATCATTTATGACAGAATTTCAAGAGCAATTGTCAATTCAGTTTGCTGAACCATTTGAAGGTAAAATGCTTTGGAGTTTTATATATTTACATCTACTAGTGTAATTGTGGTGTAGTGGATAGAACACTCTACTGGAATAAATGCCACTGAGGATTACATCCAGGGATAGATATGAAACTCTCCGGGTGACCGGTGTCTATGAAGGAAGCAATCACTGCAAAAATACAATCCAAGCACCCAAGTGGAAGTTGAAATGTGAATAAAATTTCCTCATAATACACAGGCATTTTCACCTACTCCTCCCTGTCAGCTTGCTCTCTTCTTCAAGTGAAGGTTTACTGCTTTTGTGCATGATATCAATTATATTGATATTAAAGAAAATTATATTTCTGTGTAGAGAAAGGGTCACAGAGGCCCAAAAGTAGCAACACTGCATTTGCAGCATGGAAAACGACTGCTCAGGTAGATGGCAAGGTTGTAAAGGACATGGGTTGTAATTACCTGAATGGGAAGAATGATCAGCAGAAATCATCCGATTCCGGATTGGAGACAGCCTAGGAAGCGTATACAAGAAAAAGTTGGATTTCTCATCTGATTTGGCAAAAGCAGCAATGACTGTAATGAAGAAAAAAGTGCAAAAATAAAGATTCTCCAATTTTATAAATCATATAGACAATTAGTTACTGTTACCAAAAATATAATAAGAGTGGCTACATGGGAGAAAACAAGGGCTCTTCAGTTTTTTAAAAAACAGAATTGAGAATATGGTATCGAATGATGCCAGTCTAGAGCCCATTTGTATAGGAGTGCTTAAACTTCTGGAGTTCCTCATGTTGCGACTGCAATGCCAAGATGTCTTGCTATTCTTGGCAGCAAAAGCAGTAGTCACTGTGGTGCAAATTTCTGCTGGCTCTATCGCAATTAATGCACTGTATGGCAAGTGTAGTCCATCGGTATTATCCCCATTTCTTAGAACTTGACAAACATGATAAACCACTGTGGGCAGCTCTCTACACTGCCGAGTCCTCAAAAATAAGCATTCTGCAGAAAAAGCTCCAGGTGTAGACAGCATGGCAAAGCTCCATAGTTGGCTGCCCGCCCAGCCATGGCGGGCTGTCCCGTCGCGCAGACCTGGTCACTGTCCTAGATTGTTTCGGGCAGCAGGTTTTGCTCCTCCTGTTCTTTCATCTGGTTTGAGCAGATAATTCTGAGAAGTTAGCAACCAGTAGCTTTAGTTGGGCTAACAGGGGAAAATACACCATTTTCATTCACCAAAGGGTGCAGATCCTGGCCCTTTAGGAAGCTGGTAACAAAGGAATGTACTTTATGGCCTTAATTGGGACTGCATTACAATGGCTACGGACAAATGCACAAGGCAAGATAAGGGCTTGGTTTGTCTTTAATAGAAGTGGGAATGCTTTGTGAGAGTAGGGCTGTGGATTCTCTATGATAAGAGGCAAAAGGCACATGGAACACCTTACCCTTTGGTTATTTATGGCATTCAGGTGGAGACAGGAAAGAAAAAAAACATCATTATTGCATCTTGCTCTGAAAATTTAACATTCAGGAAAATTCTCAATAAAAGCAAAAGAAAATAAGAGAGTTTTTCCTTTCCCTTTGCTACTAATACAGAAATATAATTATTTATACACAATCATATATATTAGTTTATTACACTGAGATTCTTCACAGAGCTCAAGGCAGTAAACTTAGGCTGTCTAGGTAGCCTCCCAGCTGAGCACTGAATAGACCGAGCTCTGCCTAGTTTCAGTAAAGGTTATTTTTAAGATGATTATTTATTTGTTATATCCTGTTCCTACAGGGGTCTCTTAGCTGATTCCTGGCCAAAAGGCTGATCCGGATCTCTCACCCCTTCTTCTCCTCAGCAAAGGTGCAGCTTCAAATACCCCCAGCCATTCACTTGGCCCACCTTTGTCATGTTTTATTATTTATTTATTTATTTAGAAAATTTCTACGCCACCCCATTCGCCGAAGCCTTGGGGCGGCTCACAAATATATCAATTAAAATATAATACAATAAAAATATAAAACAAGTTAACAACATAAAATAATTGACTGTGCTGACGGCGTCATGGGCGCTGCTGGCTGTGCCCTGGGCCCGTTGCTGCATTTGGACATGTTAGAGGGCTGTGATGGGCAGCATTACAGCGCAGGGGCAGGGGTAGCTCCCTCCTATACATTGGTCAGATTCCTTTGATATGGCTTCTCATACTAAAAGCAGTGCCAATAACAAAGCAGTGCCAATTATTTCAGGTACAAATAACAACAAAACTTGATATTAGGAGTCCTAACTACTCTCAGAGGTTGACTGCAGAGAAGAATGGTAACTTGAATATATAAAATCAGTTACCTGCCCCATGATAAGACGCTAGCTAAGACCTTAAGTGAAATTTAAACAGGCATTGGGCAGTGGAACCCTCCATGTCAATAAAAGATTTGGGGGTAGGAATCCAGCAGGCTGTAGGTGCCGTGCTTTGACAGGAGGGGTGTCATGCAAGTAAAATAGCAACTGCCCTGGATGGATGAGGAAAAAAAGCAGAAGACTGCAAAAAACGGCCATCTCCCCTCTCTGCTGCTTCTGCCAACTGGGATGGGCCATTTCTCACTTCCTGGAGGTCCTCAGTTCCAACCACCCTGTGAGAAAGGGAAGCAGCAGTGGCAGTTTCCAAGTGGGCCCCAAAGTACAAGATCCCACCCTATACGGCAGGGTGGAAAAGCAAGCAGGGTATCGAGCTGTATCACCCCACCCAGCTAGCCTAGAACATTCGTTAGATGCTCACAGTCATCTAACATCTACACACAGGGCCACTTGACACCATTTGTTCCCAAACTGAAACCAGGACACTGGTGCTTCCAATGACACTGGGGCAGTTTGCCATTCTGGAACACAGCTGGAACGTCAAAAGAACTGTCCATGGTGCTGAAACCTACCTTAAACTTGGTCAGGTACCACGGACAGCTCCCCTGAAATTCAGACTACTAATCAGAGTGGCCAAAGTGCCCCCGCCGACATCAGAGGCATGAGCTTCTAGTGGGTGGACTCTCCACCTGGCAGTTGACTTTTACATCACATCAGGGATTCGTCCTCCCCGCTCCTTCCTTGCAGAATGTCTTTAGCACCTTGCAAGAGAATCCCCACTGCCATCTCCCATAGCTATCCTTGCGTCTTCTCCAGCACCCGCAGGGGAAAGGCTTGTGGACAAGGCGAGGCCTTTGGGCTCACAGAATTTGCACACGTTTCCAGATGAGGCCCTGGAGGCAGAGGTTTTGCTCCCCTGCTGTGAGACTAGGGACTTCTGGCTGCATTACAGCCATTTCCACCAAGGCTGGGTCCCCAGGCTATTTGCTCAGAGCCTCCTTGAGGCCCATTTTTCCACAGTGAGTGGCCCAGTTCCATTACTGTGTAAGGTCAATATAAAAAATGAACTAAATGTATAATTAGTGCCTACATATCCTTTCCTTTCCCCATCCTTTGCCATGTATTTTGTGTTTTGATTGATTGTCTTTTGACCTTCCAGAGAGCAGGGACTGACTCATTTTTTATTAATCTGACTGAAGAGTCAGGTATCTGTACTTCAAACATACAGATAAATAATAAAAGAGTCTCCGCATATCAGGGAGGCCAAAGTGGCTAATCTGGAGAACATGAGTGATACTGAGAAAACATGCCACAGCTTTCCCTATTTGCTAAGAGCAAGATCTGTTTTCTTATTCCTGTTCCTGGTAAACAGTGAGAGCCAGTGTGGTGCAGTGGTTAAGAGCATGGGACTGGGACTCAGACAATCTGGGTTCTAGTCCCTGCTCAGCCATGGAGCCAACTGGGTGACTTTGGGCCAGTCACAGACTCTCAGCCCAACCTACCTCACAGGGTTGTTGTTGTGGGGATAAGATGGAGGAGGAGATGTAAGCTGCCTTGAGCCCTTTGTAGGAAAAAGGCAGGATATAAATAAATTAATAAATAATAATAAATTAATAATAAATAAATTATGTCCCCTATTTTTCCCTTTTGGGATGGCTTGTTGGAATGTTGGTAATAAGAATGGCTAGTTGTCATAGTTCAGAGATGAGTTCAGAGTGAAAAAGGGTGCTTTAAGAAGAAATGTTTCCATGCCAGCAGCCTGCCATATTCACTCCCATTTTATGGGGGTTCCTCTGCAATATCACCCATCACTTATAAACATCCCGTGTTTTCCCACTGCTTCTTCCATCCCTTCTCTTGCTGCAGAAAACCCATTTTGGAGAAAAAGACAGAAGAACTGCACAGTGCTTTCTATTTTTTAGTTCTAGGACTCTGAAAGCACACTAAGGCACAGTACAGCTTACAGTCTGATAGTTCCCATAGCTGCTGAACTATTGAATCACAGGCTGTAGACAAACATACTTGAAAAAAAAATCTGGCTTCAGCCCAAAGGGTAAACACGGATCTCCCCAGCTTTTAAATTAGCAAGAAAAAATATTGCACACTTTAGCAGGCAGTGCACATTATTGCAATGTGTGAAAGGGCTGAGATCAAGTGTGTTGCAAGCAAGTCTGTTTTAATCTTTAAAATATTGTAGGGTATAAAAGACCTAGAGGGACAAGGTCAGCTGCCATTCCTATCCTGGTACAGGCAGTTCCTGTAACAAATGTTCAAATGATGAACAACCCATATTTATGAATGGACTGCCACAAAGCCTATTATTTTAAAAAGCTGTGGAAAATTGTCATCACCATAGAGAAAGAGGAAGTGAAAGGCGAGAGAGGGAGCCCTCCAAAGCAAAAAGGAAAATGTCTCCATTATTTCCTTGCTGCAAAGTGGAGGCACTGGTCAGTTTGGGCAGGGAGGCAGGGTATTTGTGCTTCCACCCCCCCCCCCATTTTCATGAGGCCCTGAGCCCCTAACCCCCACAAATGTGGAGGTCTGACTATATGTGATCTGACTTACATACACATTTGATTCAAAGTCAAATTTCAGATTTCTCAGGTTGGCATTCATTTGTAGCCCAGAGACTGCGTGTAATTCTTTTGGACTGCCATGGCTCTGGTAGAAAGAACTTGGGATAGGGATAGACTGAAGTACAGGGAAGAAAGTGCTCCAGAAGGACCAGATTCCCCAACTTGGGACTCCATGACATGTTGGACCACAACTTCCATCATCCCCAGATAGCAGGGGCAATGGAAAGTGCCAAGTGGATGAAAGCTAAGACATTGGATGGGTAACACACATGTTTCAGGACAAACAAATGCCTAATTGACCATTGGGTCAATGACAGGAGTGTAAGCAGACTTTTCTCGTCTTCTATTCTTACTGAACTCTGTTTGGAATAGACCAGATTAGAGGAACAGTGTTTTGTTCCTGAAGAAAGAACACCTAATTGCCATATCTTAGTTCAGAGAATTTGATATCACAGCAATCAAGAGAGTCACTTTAGGTGAATAGCTATTAACTGACAGGTACAGACATGCTGTTCTTTGAAAAAGTTGAACAGATGCCTTCAGATATCTCTCAAGAGATGCCTCCAGGAAAACTGAGTAAAAGTGCTCCTCTGACCACTCCCTTAAAGAATCTTAAATCAAAAGAACTCCTGTAAATGTTTAGTGACTAAAATACCAACA